TGCATATTGGGGTATATGTTACACACTTAGGCAATTGTCTCATTTTTTGATTAGTGCATAAGTGAATATGATGAACCCGACTGGGATTTGAACTCTGCTCTCTGATTTCTCATTCTGAGCCATCATTTATTACAACATCTACACATTGCACATTCAAGCTTACAGCACCTGCTATTTATTCTCAAGTGGTCATCCACCTAGGCACTGACCAAGTCTACATTACTTAATTTCAGTGATCTAATGAGAACCATTGTTTCACCATGATGTAGTCATAAACTCATTGCATTCATTTAGGGGAAAATCCGTCTCTTCTCTCTCAAGCTGTGTGTTAAATAGTAGGGTAGACAGGGCTCTTTAACCATATTTGATAACTAGTCTAGGAGGACGACAACTCTGAATTCAAAATCTGTTAGACAGGGGCTAGCAACTCTACCCCATAAAAACCTATTTGCTATGGAAACCATAGCAGCAATGCTAATTGTTGTTGAGAGCTGTAGTGCCATACTCCTCAGTGAGGTCTACAGGACTCTAGTGTGAATGGGTGTAATAGGAAAGTTGAGTTGACAAAATACAGATAGAAGTGATTGATTTCTAGGGATAGTGAGTGTTAGCTGACTGAAAGAATTGTGCATTTTATTTGTAGTCAAATGAATTAACATTACTGAGAACAAATGAGATAAAAAGGTTGGTTTTATGTTGGGGATCCTTTATGTGTGTTCTGCATGGAAGGACAAAAAATGCCTACTCTTGCTAGCTTTTGCAGCCAACATCAGGGCATACACTTTACTCTATCCCATGAGAAATTATTGTCAGTGTCTTTATAGCCATTTATTTTCAGTCAATGTCACTTTCTAATTTTTCCCAAAATGGGCCAGCACAGCCAGTCAAAAATGCTATAACAATGAAAGTGTTAAAATATTTTTATTTTTTTTACATTTAATTTTATTGAACAATGCACTTATTGTTTGCTCCTTTAGCTTCTCTCATCTTTCAGACTATTTCATAATTCAATCATTTTACTTCTTTTTCTCAGTAGAGATCTGAGTAATGTTCCATTTGCAACTATTCTAAAAGGGCAATTCTGAATTGAAAACTCTGTAGCCTTGGCAAAGCACATACTATTCACCTAACAACATGACCGTAGAGTTCACAATGACCCTATCATTGACTGCAGTCAGTTGATGTGATAGTAATGATGTTTTTAGCACCAAACTTGAAATTGCCTGTTTAATCATGTTTTTCTCTCACTCTTTCACCTCTCTTTTTCTTCAGTATGGTATCAAAATCAGAGAGTGCAATGTATATGAAGCAATGGCCTGAATATTTTTTTCTTCCTCCTAGAGGAAAATAGCAGCAACCATATAATACTTGAAATTTTTAACCAATTTACTAAACCGATCATGCTATAAGAATTTTGCTTGTGAAACCTCATTTCTATTAACTATACATCCAGTGATGTATATTTCCAAAATTTCTTAATACAATATTCATTCACAAAAAAAAAAAAGAAATATTCTTACAATGCAAATATGTTTTGGCTTGAAATAAGTCATAAAAACAAATCTCTGTTTATCTATATGCCATGTCCCTTCAGGATATAGGCAATCATCACTCTGCATAGATTCCTTTTATCATTTGTGAATTGCCATACAAAGACAGTGGTGTGGTTTCCTGTTGCCTTCTCCAGAGAATTCAGAATTTTCCTTCACTTAGACTGGTTGCCACCCAAGACTAGACAACCTAATCTACCCTGCTAATTAACCAATAACTATTGCGAGAAATGACTGTTTCTTACCTTTTCTCAAGGGAATCTCTGTGAAAATAAATACTGCAGATTAACCTGAAATTTTAATCCTGCTTGTCAGTTCCATATTCATTGCTGATATGTATTACACTACCTGTAAATCACATTCTGATATTGCTAAAGTCTATAAAATTAACTGAAGTTCAAAGTCTTTAATACGGTACTCTGTAGTCTGGCAACTCCTACAGTCCAGCACTTTTTTTTTTTTTTTAAATTGCCCACCATTAGTTTGTTGAGGGGGCTACAAAGTCAATGCCACACAATTTTTTATAACTTTCCATAACAGCCAACAGTGTTTTGGTAATACAGTCTTGCTTATTTCTTGCATATAGCTGCATATTTACCTATTCAAGATATGTATTTTGGGCTTTTAGGTTTCTTTTCTTTAGCCTTTGTATTGCATAAAACAAAAAGTTTGTTTGAACTGTTATCACTTGGTATTATTTAGAAATATGATTCCCCAAGATCTTTTGCCTGTTAAATGCAGTAGCCTGGTTCTTGATTTCAAGTATAATTGTTTTTACTCTTGTAAAAATATCACGATATGATAACACAAAAAAGAATTTCAAATATACTGTTGTTTGGTGATCATAGTTACTTACAATAGAAGAACAAACCTTTTTACTGCCAGAGTTTTAAACATTAATGATTGTTTTATTTCCTGTTTTAAGCTTTTGTTATTTATTTATTTTTATGATTCCTTCGCTACATAAGAGTTCTCAATTTTAATATCTAATATATATATATGTGTGTGTGTGTGTGTATAAGTTTATAGTTGTTCTAACTAGAGAAAAATGTATATTTTAAAAAAGAGAAACTGTAAATGTTTTTGGTTATAATGTGGATTTGTTTTAGTATATATATATATATTGTTTTATTCTTCATATTTCTGCTACACGAGTTTCTGGTCTTGTGACCCTCTTAGGAAAATTAACGGAATAAATTCACTAACAAATACAGAAAATGAACAATGAGACATTTTCCTTAGTTGACACTGTTTTTACTTCTACTTCTTCCTGAGACACAGAAATAAAATTAGGATGGGCACAAATGGGGTAACTGAATATCAGCATTCTGCTCGAAATAAAAATACCATCTCTGATATTAGGAAATAGCTTTCAAACTGTGCATAACCTGATTGTAACATCTCCACATGAATAGGCAATAATTTAATATGAGAAATTTAGTCTTTACAATGATGACCTTAGACAGAAATGTCTTGCCACAATTAGCTGACTCATCTATTCTGTTACTCTTAGTGTGGGTGATAGTGACTGGATTAACCTTCCTGGTCGTGTGATCATTTATCACAGTTTCACAACAAATAAATTGATTTAAATGTGGTGGGGGGGCATAATCTTGATATACAAAAAGTAAATTACAAAAACGTTGATATAATTAGCCTTTCTTCTTTTTTTTTTTTTTTTTTTTTTTTTTTTTTTTTAATCCATCTTTCCTAAGACATGAGAATCTCATTTAGCATTTGAAAGATACTCATCTTCTTTAGCTTTTATAAGGTATAAAAAAAAATCTTGCAAAATTACATTCTATTCTGCAGTCTTTTATGGTCTTTTACAGTCTGACCAGTTGATATATTAAATGAACTTAAACAGGAAATAAGTTTTAAAGTTTTCATAAGCGGGAATTTATTTTCATCATATAATTGAATCAATTTCAAGGTTCGTTGCAAGGAAAGTTTGTTCACTGTGTCATGCTAGACAAGTTTTCTTGCCAGAATCTATCTTACATATTTATAAGCCTACCATTTGTCATTGCTTTGAATATTGTCACCACATATGGTCTGGTTCTCCTGCTATATATTTAGAGATTTCATTTGATTATGAACTGGCATCTTGGCTTTAGTCACTTTCCTGCTGCTGTAACATGGTTTCCCATTGCCTTTTGTATGAATACTTTCATAATAATTGTTCTGATGAACTTTCCTCTATGGTAGATAAGTGAAGTAATAGATTAGCAGCAGGCTTTCATCATTTTACAATTGGAATGGATAGGATGTAATCACAAGTTCTATGCTAATAGTTTCTTCTATAGCACTTCGCACTTGTGGCACTCTCTTCAGGCTTCTTGTTTCCCAGTTAACTTTTATCTTCAAAAACTTAAATGCAATGTCAATCATTATCTACTGTCTTCATAATTCTTGTTCTTTTATTGTTCTCTCTAATAGTTTTTTCTCATGTTCTCTAACACTCGATAACCGTTTCTGTCTTAGTGGCTTTATTGCTTTGTTTGGGGTGAAATGATTAAAAATTTTTTTTTTTTTTTTTTTTTTAAAGCCCTTATTTCTTCACTTCTGTGTACTTTAAAAAGCATGGGCCTTTTATCCAAAGCAGCTTAGCAGGAATAAACTGTAACCTTCTTTACTGGATGTATGTTGCTCTGTTTTTAGTTTTTTATTTTCAAACATACCCTTGTGGTTTTCTTCTGTTAATGAACATGGAAGAAGGAAAATTCATACAAGTTAATTATACGATAAGATTTTTTCAATTTTTGTTTCCTATATAATCTGTGATAAAATTTTACTCCATGGAATTACTTGTTTCTTTTGAATTTGAATATCTTTTACATCTTATTGGAGGTACAAAATTTAATCAATGCTAAAAAATATTAGAAACAAATGATCATTTCTTGTCCTCCTCTCCTCAGAGCTCAATCGAGAAATTAAAATACTTTGTACAAGTGGGATTGGGGTTATGACATTGAGAAATATACATTTATTGATACATATATACTTATTCTACAAGCAAATCATATTGATACCCATCTTGATTTAATAAAAGTGTCTCAAGAACTTTCAAAATGTGATCTATTCAACATGGGAAACCTATTTTCATGGGAGGTCATTGTACATTGCTGATTATTAATGAAATGTCTGAAATCTTTGAATATCTTGTGTGCATAATATTTTAACTCCTTGATTGATCTTTAATGAGAGAGGAGTGAAAACCGGTCAGCTCTTTCAAATATTTTGTTCAGTTTCCTCTTGATGTCTGGTTTTGTAACCATGATTAAATCCTTTTGTCTATAAGAAGTATTTGTAAATGATGTCTACCCATTAAATGTCAGTTCTAACATTAATTTAAAAAAAAAAAAATGTTTGTATCATCATTGTATATGTTGGTCAGTATGAAGGATTTAATTTATAAAAAAAAACACACATTTTTTTTTTCTTTTTCAGGTCTTCTTTCAGGTTCTGGCAGTGCAACTGCTGCTGGTGTCTGCTACTTTTGCAAATACATTATACTTTCAACCAAAAACTGAAATGGTTTGCCCTGACAACAAACACTCATGTACCAGTGATACCACTTGTTGTCTTTTGCCAGATGGACAATATGGTTGCTGCATGTATGCAAATGTAAGATATAAACATTTTTGTCTCTTCACTTCAAAAGAATTTCCACCCACCACTAGTTCAAAACAGCACCCCCAAATATCCCTTAGTTTCAAAATTGTTTTCCTCTTGTCTTAGTTTCATAAGTCATCCCACATGTCCCTTTAGTTTTATAAGTTTTTCTCCCTCCATGCCCCTTTAGTTTCAGAATTTTATCTTTTCTTTCCTGTCCATTAGTTTCAAAACTATTTATTCTCCATCCTCCATCATTTTGTTTTAAAAAGTTTTCCTTTCCCCACCCACCCTGTCCCTTTGTTTCAAGACATTTATTTATATTCATGAATGTAGAGTAGGTTTCTCCACTTTTGGCATAAATTTTTGATATTCAAGTTTAAAATTTCTTGCAAAAATCAAATAATTGTCGGATTTTAATGAAACTTTCAGGACTTATTCACAAATGAATGAAATTATTTTTTAAATTTTTTTTTTTTTTTTTTTTTTTTTTTTTTTTAACATGTTTCCACCCACTTACATATTTTCATGAAATATCGAGAAATTAAATCTTCAAGCGCGGGATTTGTTTTATTAGTTATAAACAGGACTCTTTGTAGAAAGTAAATCACCAGTTTTGTTTTGTAAAACAGTACCCCATATCATAGAAAATCTGCTCTGAATTATAAAAAGAATATGTAAAAAAACTATGACATTAATTAATTAGAAAAGCTTTCACCTGTTTTTATAAATACGTTATACTAAGGACATTATTTTGTGAAGAAATAAAATTTTTTCGATGAATAATGTATTTTTTACTAATTTAAAAAAATTTTTTCATTAACTTCTTAATACTTTGAAAATCATTTAAAATTCTTTATTGCTTTCAAGCACGTAATGCAATGATAACGTTAATAAAAAAGTAAATTTACGAATCAAAATTTGAAAAGCACACAAGTCGTTTGACCCCAAATATTTTTAAAATAATTTTTTAAAAAATTTTATTGAAAAAAACGTTCATAATTTCTACATATGGAAATGTATACATGACATAATCCTTAAAAAATTTTAAACAATTATCTAATTAATAAAAAACTTTAAATAATTACCTAATTAAGAAAGTATGAAATAAAAAATAGATATTACATAATTGCTGAATAAAAATGTTAATATTTAAAAAGTACTAGTTAAAAACGAAAAACCATGTTCGCTTACTTTGCAAAAATTCTCAATCTCATCCATAGTAATCTGTCATCACCTCGTCACAATCGAGCGTTTTTTTAATCGTGATATGCTGCTTTTTTATGTGACCTAATGGAGGAACCTAATGTATAGTATAAATAAATCTATTAGTTGATTTTGTAACCAAATGGTAAATGGGGATGGCATAGATGTCATCATTTCTCTTCCTGAACAGTATTCTTGTTAAAACTTATATTTTGTATTCCCACAATCCAATATTTTATTTTGGGATTTGGTCTTGGATACATCATTTCCTGTACAGAATTTCATGCCTAAGAGATTTATCAGAAGTTCATCACAGAATTTCCATTACTTTTAGGTGTTAACGAATTTCTGTTGAAATAAAAAAAAAAATAAATAAATAAACGTAAAAGATAATATGAATGCAAATAATGAAAACTTTTCATCCTAAAAAGAAGAAAAGATGAAGTCAATTCTAAAACGTGCACAAGAGAGAGATTATAACAAGTAAAATGCAGATTATAGGAGGGGATGTCTTTCTCTTTAAATATTATGTAGCAGGTAGGCATTCATGGCTCTCCACAGCTTTATTTTATTTAAATACCATTTATACTTGAGTAGAGTGAGTTTTTTATGTAAAAAAAAAAAAAAAATAGGAAGTTGCACTATACACAGATAGATTTTTAGAAGAGGTTAAAAATCCTGTGTTTCTGATTGCACAGGTTAATTTTTCTGGAGGGGTTAAAATTCATGCAAAAACAATTCAGGGTTTTCACTATACATGAAGTATTGCCATGGTCATGAGGAATATATATCAAAGTTGAAAGAAGTCTTGGATTGGTACTGTCTGTAATTCTGAGATGGGAATATCTTAACTGTTCTTGGCTTAATTCATATCTCATAATTATGTGGAAAAGAATATAAATAAAAGTTATCCAGATTGACAATGCCTGAAGATAGCTGGAAGAGTACAATGACTGAAAGGTTGTGACAACAACAACATAAGGACTCTAGTAGTCCATATGTAAATCATTATAATTCTGCTTGTTCCTGTATTAGTATGTATGTTACACCCTGCCAGTGTCTCGGATAAATAATGCACCATTCCATTTTGATTGTGAAGAAACATGGAAGAAAAAGATATATCAGAGATGCTGTTTGGTGTTAGTGAGAGAAAGAAAGCCTACATAATAAGAAAGAAAACTAGAAGAGGTGATAATGCTCTCATGCATTTGATGTCTCCTTCAGTGAAATGGAAAACTTTATCAATTTTAAAACTTTTCATTTGTACCCTCTTACTTCTTGAAATAATCGCCTGCATTTATACTTATGGTTGTTATTGCAATATTTTGTTAAAGTTAAGCTCAAATATTTAACCATGTGATAGAATTTCTATAGATATTTTATTGTTGTATAACTTGCCATGAGCTTAATCATTAACTTTTAGAATTAAAATTCATCAGAAAATTAAATTCTATAGTATTTTTTATAATCTCCAAACATAACAGTATAAACACACAAGGGAGGTAACTTCCTGTTTTTCACCAACTGGGCAAATCAATACCCATGTTGTGTTTTGCCTCTTCTGAGCAGGTGCACAAGAAACGGGAGATGAAATCAAAATCAGGAAATTAAGATACGAATCCTAATTAAGCTCCCTGGTTGGACTTAATATTCTCTCTGGTAATAGATAGGTCCCTTATTTTTACTTTTTACTTCAGTTGGACTGCTACTAATGTGACAGGAGCATCCGTCCAATCTTTCTCCATCTGGCCCTAACTGGGACACTACTTATATAGGGCTGCAAGCGGAAACCTCTCATTCCCAACAAAGTGCTACTTGATCCTCTTTTTCATTTATTTCTTGTTTTCTTCTTCTTCGCTCAAGTGGATTGCCATTTTGAACCATAAACTTCAAAGGCTATTTTTTTCAGCCATTAAAAAAAAATCCCCAACACTTCTCTGATAACATTACTTAGGGTCCACTTTGTGTGCATTCAGCTATATGTATGGAAGACCAATTGTGTCATACATGTTTATTTAACTTGATTGACTGTTCTTGTTATTCCTCCTTATTTATTTCTCTCTCATTCTGATTGATTCTAATCACAGGCTGTATGCTGTTCGGATAATATTCACTGCTGTCCCACTGGCAGCTACTGCGATGTTAATACAGGAAGCTGTGATAAAGATGGGGTCAAATTTGAATGGTCCAAAAAAGCACCTGCTGCTTTATATGTTCCAAAAGAAAAGGTAATTGTCATTATTTAAAAACTTTATCTAATCCTCCAGCAGTCTCTTACTCTAAAGCCCTGTCAGTACTTAGATGAAGGGTGGGGGTTTGCTTGGGTACTGTAATCAACTGTCTACAATCCAAATTATATTTTGGCTTTAAGTAACCCACAAAGGGTTAAGCCATAAAAAAGCAAATCAATCTTACTGTAAGTTTCATTCACTTTTTTTTTTTTTTTAATTTTTTTTTTTTTTTTTTTAAATGATTGGATTGTTTCAAATGTATTTTCTTGAACTTTCTTATAGAACATTTATATCTGACTTTTTTTTTTATGTTGTGAAGGGTAATTACATACAAAAAACCCTTATATCACAAGGTAGGTGTTTGGTGATTGATTTTTTTTTTTTTTTTTTTTTTTATCTCATATTAAAACAATTTTCTGTCTTAGTTTCATTGCATTCGTTGCTTAATGTTACAGCTGACAAGTAATTTGGTTCAAATCTCATTAAAAAAATAAGCAAATATCTCTTGAATATTGCATTGCAAAAAGAAAACCAATTATAAAACTTTAATTAATGAGATTAACGTTGTTCTCTTAATGACAGAAAAATAGTTTGGGATATCTGATTAGGTTTTGTTGGGATAATGCCAGAATTTTGTCATTTATTCTAAAGGCAACTAATTTCTTTAAAAAAAAAAAAAAATGAAAAAAAAACACCTTCTCACCAATAGTAGCAGATGTTCAATAAATGGAACACTTACATGCACCTACATGCACACATACGCACAACAAATAAACAAAATTTAAGTAACTTCTTTTTAAATTAGTAAATGCAACCCAAATGAAAGACTTAAATTTAGATATTTGTATTTATCTTGAAATCTTGGGGGAATTGGAGGCTGCTTTTTTGACAACTACAATCTTAACCTCTTCAAGTCTAGGTTTAACCCTTATCTTTTCCACATATCCAAATAAATTGTCATACTCTGTAACCGTCTACCTTGAGTGGCTCTTGGGCCTGGTTGTTGGGCTAATTAGTAGGATTCATATCAGTAAAAATCTCCAAAATATTTTTGGCTTTAAATGACCTGCAAAAAGTTAAGCCATAAAAACAATTCACACACACACACACACACACACACACACACACACACACACACACACACACAATAAACTAAACTTAATCAACTTTTTAAACTAGTGACTGCCACTGAAATGAAAGTTTAAAGACTTAAATTTAGATACTTCTGTTATTTATCTCTAAATGTAAAATATCATTAGGATCTAATTGTAAGAATTGATTTTAGTTCAATAAACAAAGCGAGAAAATTATTAGATTTTGGTAAAAAGAAACTGAAATGGACTATTAACAAATAACATTTATGTGCTTTCTGCTTATCCTAAGCCGAATTGAAATGCTCGGTTGCCTCCTGTAAATTTCCATTCATGGCCCTCCTGGGAAAGCAGTGAATGGTAGAATAATGACAACAGGACATGGAAAGCATGAATGATTGAACGAATCAAAATATTTATTTCCTAAACATTTTAATAATGTTTTCATTACGCTACTAACAACTTTAAATGATAACAAAAACTGATTTCTGGATGATTTAAGATTTTGGGGAATGATTTAAAATTTCTCGCAACAGTTCCATAACTAATGGTGAAAAAGGTTAGCCTGGAGCAACATTTCTCAACATTTTTACCCTTGTGGAACACTTGAAATAGTTTTCATGTTGCGGGAATCCCTGCATATAAAATTCAATAAACCGTTATATGATCATAGGTGATGAAAAGTGGCTCCTTTTTTGTATAACGCACAACATATGTTCTAAACCACCAAGAGTACATGTCCATGTCATACGTGTGCGTAGTCTTGAAGACAGCCAGATAAATGCTTTAAGGCAGTTAAAACACTGAAGAAGACAACGACGTCCCATTTGCCGGCAGATTTATTAATAACCTAAAGGGTAAAACTAGAAAACGAAATACATATAAATAAGACTAGTTAGTCTGAAAATACAAATAAACAAGGGTAACAAGAAATATGAAAAAAAAGCAGTCAGAGACTTGAGCATAAAACTAAGACCATTCGTCTAATTGGGTAAGTAAGGGAGCGAATACAATGTTTACTTGAATAAGTTGGCTACAAGAATATATTCCAATGTTGCGGTGTGTTCGTGGAAAAGCAAGTTAGGTTACATTTTGCAACAGTGTATGTGGACCATGGACATGTGTTGAAAGGATTGTACATGAAAAGATAGAAATGTAAAATAAATGTATGAAATATGGCTACATAAAATAAATGTTCAAGTAATAACATGATAATAAAATAGTCAAATATAGAGAGAAATGGTATTAAGTTACAAACCAGTGATGGTAACATTGGGTGAGATTAGTAGGATTATGAAACTACCGTAGGTGTCATGCCTTTATTGTATGGGGTTCCAGTGAAGGGCTAACCGGAAATGGTCGATGTAACTAGGTAATTTGTTTGTTAGGTACTTTATATTTCTGGTTTTTGGTGGTAGTGAATGAAACAGAAAAATTTATAAGTTTGAATCATTTGCTGAATCAAATTTTCCCAGGAAATTTGTGAAAACATCTGCTGTTCAAAGGACTGCAAATTTTGACAGGTGACATTTATTTTGTCTATGTTCGCTTAAAAGCTTATCAGACAAATATGTAGCGTTGTCATTATGAATGCAAACAACCTTGAAGGTTGGCAATATTTAAAAACAAACTAGAGGAAATGTCCCTTTTTGACCCCTCTTGTGATCAAAGAATGGTGAGAAAACCCATGTGTGTGTGTGTGTGTGTGTGGAGAGACACAGACACAGAAACACACAGCATTTTGGCAAATGAGTGGGAGGAGGACAGCCAGGACAATCCAAGAGAGATACATCATAAATTGCCTGATCAACATACGTGTACATTACACCTACCTGAACTTAACTCGATGTTCGATTCTCTGGTAAAAGTTTGAGAATATACACTTTGGTTTCAAGTTGCTACCCCATCTAGAGGTGTTGAGCTATATCAAACTTTCGTAAATATTCTATCTTTATTTATTGTTATTAAAAGTATCATTTTTAACCAAGCTTAGACCACCTCCTTTTTCCGACAAGAGCACAATTTTTTTCTTCGACCCAGTTGTCAGAGAAAATACCTTGGCTTACTGAATCAAGAGGAAGGGCAACCCACCTTTTCTTGTCAGTAAGAAATACAACACAACAGCAACTCTAGACGATTGACGACCTAATTGACACCAACTCCTTGGCCTGTTTAAAACTATGTAACCAACCTGACCTCAAAGCTATCTCAAGATGAAGATAGGATCCAAATTGTATGACGAGGAGAGAGGATTACATTATACTCAAAATGGTGACAATCTATTAGGTAACTAAATTTTTTAAAAAATAATTAAATAAAAAGAGACAAAGGGGGAATAAAAACAATACAGTTTCTGTACTGTTTTAATAGAACAATATATGTATATGTGTAATAGACAAAATATTTTGCCTTGGCTTTAGACTATTTATATTTCTGTCTTTGCCACATTTCAAAAAGATGGGTGTGATTGAAATATAAAGAAAGGTTGAAAAATTTCATTCATTTTCAAATTCATATGGGTTGTAGCAATAATGAAATACTTTATCATAGAATGCTCTAAACCTGAATTTAATGGAGGAAATTTCATAAATATTTAATAAAAGGGGTAGTTGGAATAAGGATGTCTTGGATGGATTACCATATATACTTATATATAGTGGGTTTTTTATGATCAGTTTTTACACAAAATATAGGGTAGGGGAAAATTCTACATGGTTTTTTTTTTTTTTGTTCCTTTTTAAGGTAAACTTGAACTCAGTGTTTGGCACTACATATTGGGTAATGAAGCTTGGGAGCGAAAGGACACATACTAACATTAGAAACGTCTGTAATTTTTTATTAGTTAGTAATACAAAATAATTAAATATAATAATTAAAAAGTGCAAATAGACAAATATTAATGATCTAGGTTTGTCTGCACTATACAGAGCTAAATTAAATTTTTCTGGAGGGGTTAAAATTCATGCAAAGAAATTTAGGGGTTGCACTATACTTATAGACTAGTATATATGGTAGTCTCCAGACAATATTTGTCCCAGCTTGTTGATTTTATTTTTGGTTTGGGTTTTTTTCCTGGAAATTGACACATTGTGTTATACATAGTCATTACATTTTTTTTTTTTTTTTTTCTCTCTTTTGTGTGGCTTTTTTGCCATGCCTCTAAAAACTTTACAAGTGAGCTTTTCTATTTGTTAAATCTGGATATTACATAGTAATGTAATGTTGAATGAAATGCTCTCTTTCACTGGCAAATTCTTTAATTTTTCTCCAGATGGAAAGCCAACCAGCTTGGGTTGAAAAAGCACCCCCCATGAACCTGAAGTTGCAGGAACCTGCAAGCATTCCATGGTCTAGAAAATTACCTGGACTGAAAATGAATTTCCAACAACCTGCAAGCATTCCATGGTCTAAAAAATTACCTGGACTGAAAATAAATTCTTTGAATATTTCTACACTCCAGATGCCTGTTTCTTGTTCTGTATCACAAACACTCTGCAAATCCAATGACGGCCTATCTGGATGTTGCCCTTTCCCCAATGTAAGTAATATATATATATATGTTTTTTTTATTACCTATACATGTGAACAACATAACCCTACAACAAAAATAAATCTTTATTTAGATTAATTTAATCTGAGATCAGTAAGAAATCTGAAGAATAGTTTGACCAATCTTCATTAATTTGTCAAATCTCCACAAGACAGAATGATAAAAACATTAAATTCAAGTTTAATTGAATTTTGTAAAAAAAAAAAAGTCTTGCAAGGAACAAAAATACACAACCCATAGTATTTTTTTTATGTGTTGTGTATTTTTGTTTCTTGAATTTTTTTTTTTTTGTGTGGAGAGCTTGTTATATTATTATATATATATATATATATATATATATATATATATATATATATATATATATATAAAAGAATGAAAGAATGAACCAATTTCATTACTCAATACTTTAATAAGGAAAAGCAATAGAAAACTTCAGCCAATTCACAAGTATTCTACTCACGATAAACTTTTATTTCCTGTCTTACAAGTGTTCAATGTGGCCAGCACCTGCAGCACGGGCAACATCAATGTGATAAGAGAATTCCTCCCCAGACTCGAATCAGCATATTACGATTCACCGAGTTGGTCACTGTCATTGAGGTTAGTGGTTAGTGGTGGAAAATAAACACAATCTTTGATATATCCCCCATAAAAAAAAAAAAAATCACTCATGGTGAAATCTGGGGATCTTGAAGGCCAAGCAAAAAGAGCAAAGGTATCGGGCCTTCTTCCGACCAATCCATCACTGGGGCACTTTTCACACACCAGATAGTGTATTGATAGATCACAAGCTCACAGCTAGCTTGATCTGTGGACTCCCTCAAATGCAGCACAGATTCTTGCCACTTGTTCCTCCAAAACTTGTGGTTGTCCTGGACTTTTTCCTTTACACAGACACCCACTTGTTATTGGGAGAGGGCGGATTAGTGTTGAATTGCCTTCAAAAAGCATGCTGCACTGTGACAGCCAAACTTGTTTTTGCGAACTTAAGAACACAGAACACCTTTTGCTGAGAACTCAACATTCCAAAGAGTAAACAACTTAATGTTGCCAGAGATACAACGTTACTACAGCACCCCTGTGGCAGGCTTTCAAAACTTAGAAAACTTCTCTTTCAAATGTTCACTGACTCATTTCATGATAATGCTTGAGAACTGAAGCAATGTGTCATGAAATTGGTGCTTTCTTTTTGAATAACCCTGCAATATATATATATATATATATATATATATATATATATTGTGTGTGTGAAAATAGGAAAGAACTCATTAGGTAAATAATCTAGGTATTTTTGTTATTATTTTTAAAAAACAGTGCTCGATACAAAAGTAGAGCCTAAATATAATGATTTATTTAAAAATATATCATAATTTTAATATATATATATATATATATATATATATATATATATATATATATATATATAGTAAAAATAGGGATCAGAATGATAAGAAAAGAACAAATAAGACACATTTATCAGTCTAACATGTTTCACTCTTATTAAAGCTTTGTTAGTGGTGTAGAAAAAAATCAGAAATTTTGGTATTTTGACTTACATACATATAGTATTATTTACAATTATAATGCATGTAATACATTATTAACCGATGAAAATTAAAGAACACAAAAGTGAAAATATCAGAACTTCTGTCTTTTTCTCTGTTTCTTGGTTTCTGGCAAAGCTTTTAATAAAAGTGAAACCTGTTATATTGATAAATGTTTCTTTTTTTTTTAATCTTATTTTGTATATTTGGGCAGCAATCTCTCTTTTATACAAGTTTCATTAATGAAATAGATAAACAGGGTGCGATAGATAAATTGTCATCTAAATTACACAAAAATGAAAAAAAAACACTGAAATATTTTGAAATACTAAAAAAGTAAATTTATTCAATAAAATCGTCATTGGTTTCAACCACGGCCACCAGATGACTTTGGAATCTACTGCAAACATTCTGGACAGTCTCATTGTTTAAGTTGGTGAATGATACCATAATCCTTGCCTTCAGTCCATATTTGGTGTTACAAAGAGTTTTCTTGGTCCCTCACTCAACTGTGCCCCACATATAATAATCAGAGTTGGAGCGGGGGGGGGGGCATTAGATAGACAGATGTAAAGGGTGATGTGGTCACAGAAATTGTCTAATTAACATGATAGGGTTCTTCTGGTTTTATGACATGGTGCATAGGGTCTTCCAGCAACCACCCTCTTGACCCAGGGTAGCACTACCTCCTCAGGGGACTTGATGTAGGCTTCTGTGTTGAGTTTGAGGCCCTCACCAACAAATTTCGGGAGTTCTTTTATCAGAGTGAGTTCCTCAAGCTGCTGTACCTTCGTAATTACCATTAGACTCTTCCAACTATTTTTTTTTTAAATTCTCTGCACTGATCTCAGATTGATACCCAAACATCCTGAAATGTTCATAATGGAGCTTCCGGCATGAATGCCAAACAATACATTTTCTATGGGGAGTGAATTGCATCATGCCGCTCTTTTTCTCACGGATGGTGCTCAACTGGCCCTACCATACTGTACATTTGATAACATTTTTTTTTCTTTTATTATGCTTTTCCTTGATTTAAGCTTTCTGTTGTAATGTTCATATAACCACTCTGATGATGTCTCATGTGAGCCAAAAGCTTAGATCAAGGAACAGCATAATAACCCCCCTCCCCTGAAATATCTCAAATGTTGGGCAGTTTTTGTCTTTATTTTTTCCCAAAACTAAAGCCACAGTAATGAAGCTTAGAACAGTTCCTGATCAAACATTCATTGTCTGTTATATTTAACAATGTATGTTTGAATAATGAGTTGCTGCCCCTATATATATATATATATATATATATATATATATATATATATATATATATTATTATATCAGTATGCGATCTCATTGTAGACTACTATGATAATTTCCGGCTGAGAGCATGTTCAAGTACAGCAACATCAGAATGGCAGACCCTTGAAAAAGGTATCATCACTGGTTGCACAATGGTCGGCTGTCCTATTTTCATTGACCATGAACATGCTTGTAAAGGCAGCCGAGGTGGAATGCCGAGGCCCTGTGTCTAGATCATGAGTCCGCCAAGCACTGATAAGGGCTTACATGGACGATTTAACTGTGACAACAACATCTGTCATGAGAGGTAGGTGGCTCTTAAAGGGTCTCGAGGAAAATATGACTTGGGCCAAAATGTATTTTAAGCCAGCAAAATCCATGTCATTAGTAATGGAGAAAGTCCGGCTTACAGTCACAGGAGAAACAATTCCTACTCTGAGCGAAAAGCCTGTTAAGAGCTTGAGCAAGACTTTCAGCAGCAGTCTGAAGGACACAGCCGCAATCTAGCAGACTATAAAAGATCTTGAGAAGTGGCTGACAAAAATTGACAAATCTGGATTGCCAGGACGTTTTAAGGCATGGCTCTTCCAGCATGTAGTTTTGCCCCGGATATTGTGGCCATTGCTCGTCTATGATATTCCGATTACCACTGTGGAAACGTTAGAGCAATTAGTAATCATTTGAGAAGGTGGCTGGGTTTGCCGAGATGCTTAAGTGATGTGGCCCTCTATGGGAACAGCAATGTGTTGCACCTCTTCTTTAGCAGCCTTGTGGAAGAATTCAAAATTACAAAAATGAGAGAATGGCTGCAGAATCTAAAGATCCAAAAGTAGCAGCAGCAGGAATTCAGACAAAATCTGTCAGGAAATTGAGCACTGAAGGAGAGTTGCCAGTGGCGGAGGAGAGACTTAGGCATAAAGCTATATTAGGGTCAATAGCTAAAGGCAAAGCAGGATTGGGGTTTTTCCCCTATCCGCAAACCAACATTGCCAAAGGCAAAGAAAAACACCAACTCATCCAAGAAGAAGTCTGTATGGGCGTTGAAGAAGCGCGTTACTGGAAAACGGTTGGTCTAAGTCAGCAGGGAGCCTGGACAAAACGGGGGAATGTAGAAAAGAAATGAATTACATGGTCAGATTGCTGGCGGTCGGATTTTAGCGAGATTCGATTTCTTATCAAATCAGTATATGATATCCCACTAAGCCCAATGAACTTGCATATATGGGGGAAGAGTGAGACCCCCAATTGCCAACTATGTGCAAGGAAAGGATCCTTACAACACATCCTCAGTAGTTGCCCAAAAACTTTGGGTGATGGTTGGTACCATTGGCGTCATGACCAAGCACTCAAAGCAATTGCGAACGAGGTGACTAAAGCTATAAGAGCTAGTAAACATCAACCAGGGAAGAAATTGAATCAGATTAACTTCGTAAAAACTGGAGAGACGATACAGAGGAGAGAGAGAGAACAAGTCTGTTATCTTCCGATTGATGATTGGCTGTTGATAGTGGGCCCAGAGGCCAAGCTGAAGTTCCCCAGAGACATAGCCGTAACATCGCTAAGACCAGATTTGATATTGCACTCCGACAACACAAAGCAGTGCATTATTTGGGAACTGTCTGTGTCATAGCAGGAATATATTACACTAGCTAATGAGAGAAAGAGGTCTAAATACCAAGAACTGGTCGAACAATGTCAGCAGAAGTCATGGAAGATATACTATGACCCCATAGAATTTGGTTGCTGGGACTTTGCTAGACAGTCATTGTGCAGAGCCCTAGCAAAAATAGGCCTAGTGGGAGCAGTTAGGGCGAGAGTGCTGAAGGACATTACCAACGCAGTTCTAACTGCGTCAAAATGGATTTGGCTTAAGAGATCAGAGCCATGGAAGAAGCGGTGAGGACATTAAGGAAAATCTCACAATCATAATTAGGAGACGAGTTACATGTTATAAGGGAATATTGAGACAATATATTAAGTTAGGGTAGTCAAACAGTTATGGATAGGGGTTGAGAATCGTTGGTGTATGTGGAGGGGGGCATGGATAGAGGTTTTGTTTTTTGTTTGTTTTTTTTTTTCTTTGTGTTTTTTTTTTTTTTGTGTATTTTTTTTTTTTTTTTCTTTGCTTTTCAGTTACTGATTGCTATTATTTTATTATTTTTTGTTAGCACTTACTCAAGGTTTTATTTCAATATTTGCATATTTGTTATGAATGGAATGGGGGAGAAAGATCTAGTTTCGTAGTAATAATAGCCTGGAAATTTAGGGAGTTGATGCTAGTACTAATTGGGTAGATTTATTTTGAGAAATATATGTATCAGATTGTAAATACGTGTATAGGTTACTTAATTGAGTAGATAGCATACTTTATTTATTCATTGTTATTAGGCCATCGAATTATTTTAGTCGGTAAATGACAAAATGGAGAAGGAAATCTAGATAAGTTAGCATGAGTTAATTTGTAGTGAATGGTTTCATGAATTAAAGTAAATGGGGGGATAAAAGTTATGTACGTGTGTCAATACGTGTGTGTGTTATTTTGTTTGAATAACAGTATAAGGTAAATGTTACAGAATGATCTGATAGAATAGCAAATTTCTTTTTAGAAATTGCTAGAATAGGATAGATTTGGATTGGGTACGTGTGTAGGTTTAGTTAAAGATTTAGTATCGCTATGGGATTAGTAATTAATATGTAAAACATGGGCTTAAACAATGCAATAAAGATACCAGCTGACCTCATTATGGATTCCGGAAGTAGTAAATCTAATCTGGATGAAGTAAAGACAACACTATATAGTAGAGGAGCATGAAAAGACCTGTTTTCATTGGCTGACGCTGACTGACATATGTCAATAAGAACGGTCAATGTCCGGCCTTGCTAGTTCTTATGTTTACTGTTTTTTGCAATGTCGCAGTGTGTAGCACGACGCTTTCAAGGAGGCGACCTGACTCTTCTAGAATTGGGTTGGGGTTGCTGTTGGAGCCGATATGATGTGAAACCTGAAATCGGCTATGAGAACAGTGCATCACTGAAGACCAACCTTGATGCATCTAAAAATGGATGATTTAGTGTGTGTGTGTGTGTGTGTATATATATATATATATATATATATATATATATATAATAAGTCTGGGGCACCTTGAGGTGGTGTAATGGTTAGCAAGCTTGTTTCGCTAGAACAGTTATGACCGAGTAGTGAGTTCGATTCTCACTGGGTGCTCCCTAGTTTCGGCCTTGTGCCACATCTAAACTATACTTGGAAAATCTCCACATATGTAAAGCCTGTTAATTCACTTTCACTAGTTTTCCATCATTTGTTATTCTTCTTACTAATTTTATATTATATTTATATATTTTTCTAGATTTTTTTTTTTTTTTATTATTATTATTATTTCACCCCAAGCAAAGCGATAATGCCACTAAGGGTCTACAGGAAATGAATGAGAAGACTTTAGGAGGAGGAACTGGAAACCCAATAAACTTCTAAAAATTCAGCATTCATGTTTATCAGTAAATTAAAACACTGCATAGCCATTGACAATGAATTATTTTTAAATGCATGCAAAGGGAAAATTAAAAATTCATAGTTGATAAACTTTTTGAATATCATTTAAGTATGTGTTTTTTCTCTTTCATCTCAGGCTGTGTGCTGTAAAAAAACCCAACAGTGTTGTCCATCAGGTTTCCAGTGTAATTTGAAATCCTCCAAATGTGAAAAACCAACAGAAGAAACAAGAAAAGAAATGACAACTTTTATATCTGGACACACCCTGTTTGCCCTCAAAAAGCCTGTTGTGTGTCCTGACATAACAACTACATGTCTGGAGAATATGACCTGCTGTCTTGGAAAAGACTCCTATGCTTGCTGCCCTTTGCCCAGTGTAAACATTTTTTCTTTTCTTTTTCTTTTTACCATTAACACACTGCAATATTCATAAGTATTTCATCCTCATCCCTTGGGTATAAGTGACCACACAACTGCAGTAGCATTATATTTGATTTTCAGTTAGTCATTTTCCTGTTGCCATAGTAGGATATGACAACACTAACGAAAAATTCAACCACACACTTATCTGATATAATCAGAGTTGCATGCAGTGGCTGTATAAATGTTTTGTTTGACAAATGAAGTCACCTACATAGAGCATGCTAAAGGTTAAGGAATACGTTTTCAAATATTTTTGTCAATCAAGCAACAATTCATATTTGATGGCCGTGTTCTTTCGAACAATGAAATTTGACAAAACATGTTTGAAATTGCCAAGCATTTTCATGTTTTCCCCATTCATTGTTTTTGTTTTTCTTATCTATCATTTAAAAATTTCATAAATAAAAACTTTACAAGTGGATCAACTGGATAAATTTCCTCTTTCCTACATCATTCAAATCTGAATCTATATTATAAAAGTCTGTCACCTACTATTTTTGATTGACTTTGTATGCATTATGCATAAGTGACTTACATGTACTTCTGGCATTTAACACACACACACACACACACACACACACACACACACAATTTTATTGAGTTTGAAATAAGACATCCAAATAATATTTCCTTCCCACTCAGTCTGGATAATCCCTACCCTGAACTGAACAAAATAATCATGAAGCTGATGAAAACAAAAAAAAAAAGATAATGCTCTAAAATAAAAAATCAAATGTAAGTAGGTATCCCAAACTGCCTTAGTTTACAGTGTGAAAAGGTGTTAAAATGGTAAAATATTCTTTCCCATTAGTCTTCTTGATTAGTTTTTATTCCATGTCTTTTTAAATTGAGCCAGTATTTCAATGACAGCCATGTCCACAGTTTCTGCACTTTTGAAGTTCTAGACATGCATACATAGTCCTGTTTTTTTGTTATACAGGGCTGGGATTAATCTCACTCAAAGTAAGGTGGGTCCTGCCTTACAAAGAATTTGTCATAATGATGTGAGGCAAGGTTTTACAGGGTCTGATACACTTCCTGGCACCCAACACTAACACTTATGATAGTACATGTGAACTGAGTGTTTTTATCGAGGCACCATCCTAGCCTTTTATATATATATATATATATATATATATATAGTCTTAAGGTGTGCTATATTTATGGGATAAAGTGCTCAATATCAGAGATAGAGCGTGTGTAAATATAAAAGTGAACATAGAAGTCAACACTTAGAGGCGACAGTCTGTTTCATACTAGATGCAATCGTCAGGCCACGCCTAATCAAAACGTGGCCTGACGATTGCATATAGCATGAAACAGACTGTCACCTCTAAGTGTTGACTTCTATGTTCACTTATATATAAATAAATGAAGTAATGGCATATATATATATATATATATATATATATATATATATATATATATATATATTTGGCCATTGGTTCATCTGCCCTTTGAGACATTTTTGCTTTTTCACCCTGTGGGGTAGCTGGTTTATATGCCAACTACCTGTCCATGCAGCACATGATATTACGTTACATGTTATCAGTATCAAGCCTGACCTTAATTTGGTATACCTATTATAAGATTTTATAGGTGTATCATTTTGCAACAAAGTGTTCGACCCTGCTTTACTCTGGTGAATTAGGATGCAAAACTGTACTGGTCCATCGCCTATATCCAATTCTCACACATATCTGCAACAAGTTGCATGTTCACATCCAGGTGAACATTAAGCTGCTGGCTAAACTGTGTAAGGTTAATCTGAAGGGTTTCCTGACCTGACTGGTGAAGGGGAATGCCTTTCTCCAACCTTTGCCAACCAGCCATCAGCTAGTCGCCAGCCTGGGCATAGGAGCTGCACTCAGAGATCGATGTCTTTACTAGCGGGCAGAGGAACTTCTGAGAGGACGGACGAGGTAAATTCAACAATCCTGGCACAAAAAAGGCACCAGCATGCCATTGAAGTATATTGCCTTAAATGTCACCATGAACCACAATTATAACAGAAATGGGGGGGGGTGACCACAGTGGCAAAGCAAAATGTGCTAACTGATTAAATGAATAAGCAATTATAAGATTTTATTAAACTTTTAAGACATTTTTAGGTAATAAACAAAATTATTTAATTTTATTGTCACAAGTAACTAACAAGATCTATAAAGATTGGGCATTTAATTCCCAGTGTAATTAGTCCTCAACTATTGTAAGTAAATATCAAATCTTTTTGTATATCTGCAGGCCACATGTTGTGCTGATCGTGTGCATTGTTGTCCCAATGGTTACACTTGTCAAGTTTCTGCTGGCACATGTGTAAAGAAGCAAGTAGACATGATTTTGGTAAAGATGACAAAATGGAAATCTGAACAGGTTTGTCCTGATATGGAAACCTCTTGCCCAGATGAGTACACTTGCTGCCCACTTCAAAGTGGATCGTATGGCTGCTGCCCATATTCAAAGGTTTGTATCTTTCCTTCTAGTTAAACTTTTTCTTTAAACAAATTTAATTTCTCTATATGAAAATTATACCATATTTAACACTTAATTTGCAAAAATGGTGATTCTTTTTTGGTTTATGGTGTTGAAACAAATATTAAAGAAAGCTTTGGCACTGGGGTTTTATGTCCTTAACTGTACCTCTCCATATTTGTAAAGGACTGAAAATCAGAGTTCTTGCTTTCTGACAAGTATAATTTTAGTATTCATGTCACCTTGTCTAAATAAAGCTTAGTATTAAAAAATTTCTTTAAAATTTAAAAAAAAAAAGAAAAGTTAAATTACATTTGCTTTACATGACTTTTCTTTTTTTTTTTTTTAAATATGTAAAACCCATGAGTAACAGGTTCTCTTGAGACCTTATATGATTCCAGAAGGCACCTGACTCCATCTGCCATGTTCTATCCTAACAAGTGTCAGCTCAGAGCAGAAATGGAGTATTGTGGCCATTTCTGGGCTGGTGCTGCACAAACATATCTTTCCAGAGTTCAGAAGCCTTTATGCAGCCTTGCAGGTGATGAATTGTTTTCCATCCGACAACCCCTTTCCCACAGATACAACATTGTTAACCTCTCACTACTCTAAACAATATTTCCATGGAAAATGTTCTGACAATTCAGACCCTTTGCAGCTAAGACCTGTCATGCCATGTACGCAACATTTCTGGGTATGATGATAAACTACATCTGGCAGCAAGGCCTCTGATTGAGATATTGGAAGTTTTGAAGGGTGTGGAATCAGCTCTTAATTGCTGTTGTTCCAGGTCCTCTCTGACCCGGGGTGGTAGCAGCCGTTAGAGTCCCAGGTATGGGCAAATAGTTAACCCCAAAACTAGGGTCAAAACACTATGAAAGTATAAAAATATATTTTTATAGTAAACATACCAGCAATACATTTTTATATAAAGAAAAAAAATTACCAGCAAAAAATTTAATCTGTAGCTGAATTGCATTCAGAATATTTAGATTTCAGCATTAAATAACCCATAGAGGTGTTGATATGCTGCTAAACAAAATCAATCAAACTATGTACACAAAGGCAAACCATCCTCATTTCCTGTGTTTCCATTGATAAGGAGGAAGTTCCATTTGTTTAGCTTTTTCCCAAGAACTTCTGCTTTGTGGAATGATCCTGAGGATGCTTTCTCGACAACAACAATTTTAGCCTCTTCAAGTCTACAGTCAATTTTTATGTACTACATATCGTTATAATGGTAATAATTCTTGCATCTATAAAACCATTCCATTCAGTAACACTCTTCCTTGAGTGGTTCTTAGGCCTAGTATGAAGTGAACAATCATGTAAATAAAATTAAAAAAAAAAAAAAAACGAAACCACCACTGCTTTTCACTGACTAAAAAGCTCCTTCCTCGTCTCTCCTTTCCTTCCTCGTCTCTCCTTTCCTTCCTCGTCTCTCCTTTCCTTCCTCGTCTCTCCTTTCCTTTCTCGTCTCTCCTCTCTGCCTTTCTCAGTTTATTCCCCTTTTTCTTTTTTCTTTTTCCTTTTTCCTTTCTCTTCTCCTTTCCTTTTATCTTCCTTTTATTTTGTTGTTGATATAGATCAGTATGTATTATTCTTTCTAAATTCTTTGAAAAATTATTTGGATTTTTTTTTTTTATTTCATGATTATTCATAAAGTACCCCTGATTCTTGTATACATAAAAGTAATAAAATTTTTAACACTTTTAATATGACCTTCAAGGCCACAGAAAGAATATTTTGAGCTTCTTAGATATTTTAATATTAAAAAATAATTATTATATTTAATGTTATATATATATATATATATATATATATATATATATATATATATATATATATATAAATATATATATAGCAAACAATTTTCCAGTTTCAGTATTGTGATTCAACTATTGTCCATATACACAAACACACTTTTTTTTCTTTAATTTTTATTTATATGAAAAGAAACAATTTCAGTGTGTTGGGGTCCTGTCATCTTCTTTTTTAACTTTTTGTCTACGCATCCATATATTGATTAACCCCTTTCAGGCGGTGTGTTGTTCTGACAATTTTCATTGCTGTCCCCGAGGCTACACATGTGATGTGAGGGCTTCCAAATGCCAGATCATATCTCAGGGACTTACTTGTCCAGATCATCAAACGCAATGTTCCAGTGGTATGACATGCTGTCAAATTGAGGAACATGTTTATGGATGCTGTCCATTTCCTCAGGTAACTTCAGCATGCCTCCCTGTTTCCCATCTTAATTGTCTTAACTTTCTCTTCAAGTGACCCCAACCCCCTCGTTTTGTTCTTGCATAGAAGCAAAATTTGTGGCTTTCGATTTTGAATATCAGATTTTTGTTTGAGCTTTATTCTTTTTGTTTTGATTCACTATGATATCTTTTTTTTTGCTATCACTGTTTGTGTTTTTATTGTATTGCTTGCAAGAGTTCATTATAATTTTGACAATTTTTTTGTTTTGTTTCTTTTTTTTTTTTCCTCTCCAACTGTTACTTTTGTAAAAAAAAAAGGCTAGCATAAAAAAGACTTGCATATTAAGAATGAACTTATATCTGAATGGTGGGGAGGAATGTTGAGATTTCTAAGTTTCTTTGTCAAAAAAAAAAAGCAATGTTTATAGCAGTGTTTCTCAACCTTTTTAAGCAAAACATCACACTTAGAAGCAAATGAAAATATCACAGCACTAAGCAAAATTTTTTGAGGGTATACACTTAAATGTTATGAAATAAAACCATAGAATTTTTAAAAATACACACACATATATGTACTTTGTTTCAATCTTTGGTCAAATGTACAGAGTTTAATATTCATTCATTTATTTAAATACTAACACTGTATCATTATTACTTACACACACACACACACACACACACACACACACACACACACACGTGTGTATGCCCTGACAATATTTCACACCACACTTAAGAGGATTGTGCAACACACTAGTGTCCTGCGGTTGAGAATAACAAGCTTATAGCAATAAGTAAAGAAAATCTAAGAAATTATATCACACACAAAAATCATAATTTATGAAAATAACATTAATTCAGTAGCCTCTCTGAAAATGTCACTTTTACCACCATCACAAGTTGTGATCACCATATCTGGATTGGAAGCTGTGGAGAGGTATTAATTTATGCATAGTGTCTTCAGCAAGTAAACTTAACAAATCCCCTCCCTCTATGGGTCAAACAACAACCGATGTCCTCTAACTTGAATACTTGTTCAGAGACATGTGCCTGTGGTTCCAACAAGGGAACCCATTGCACAGTCCTTAATTTCAATTTAGCAAACTCTCTACTCAATGATAGCATGTCATCACCATACTGGCTTCATAGATAGCTATGGAGACCAGTCTACCCCATTGCTTCTGGTGATAAGGGTGGTTAGACACCTTGCAAGATCAAAAGCAAAACAAATGAACCTTTCTAATTTATTGACCTTTCGTTTTTTGTTTTTTTTTTTCTTTCAATTGTAGATCTGTTTTATAATGCTTCATTTCAGACAATAAATGAAGATTAGTTTAAAAGTTTGAATTCAAAGTTAATGCCATAGAATTACTCAACATAATGCTTATTCAAAATGCTTTCTGAAAACTGGCATTATATAGTTATTTACATAAGATTTTTATTTTATCTGAAACTTAAAATAAAAAAATAATTGGCACCATATTTTGAAAGTCTAGAGCTACTCACAAAATCACTAGTTAGTAATATATTAGTGAAGGAGACCTTCAAATATTTAAGGATTGAAATGTCAAAATAGACAAAATATAGACTTTCAGGATTTCTTCAGTTGAATTGATCATTAGATTTTTTTTTAATATTTTTCCTGCTTTGTGTGTGTGTGTGTGTGTGTGTGTGTGTGTGTGTGTGTGTGTGTGTGTGTGTGTGTTTTTTTTGGGGGGTATGGCTTTTGGGTTAATGTTTAAATCCTGATCTGGAGATCATGGATAGATTTTAATATTCCAGATTCCAGCAATATTGACATTATAAAGTAATATAATTGTATCCCCTATCATACCAGATATTCTCTTTGGTGTGTGTAAATGAATAAAACTGATATGTCCCGGAAAGGGATATATTTGAACAAAGTAGCTAAGTGGTTTTGGCTACAATAACCAAGTAGAATACGGTAGCAGTAATCGACTGGTACACATCATAGTCGCAGGTAAGAAATGTAGATCAATGGTGTAGTTCAATGGGCGTCGTTATAGACTTAGCTCTGAGACTCTCCTACATGTCCGTTGGTATTTATGACGGACACCAGCCAATCATATTCCAGTGAGGGGGGACACAGGTGTACGCATATTCCATTATATCAAAAACATAATAAGATTTTGAAATATAATTTACTTAAAAATCAAGTTTTTTTAAGGCTTTTCTAATTATATAATTTGAGCAAAAAAAGAATTCATCAAGATAGTAAAGCTTTGATTTCATTTGTTAAACTTTAATTCTGTAGTGAATGCAATTCTCACTGCACACCTTACTTTATGGCATTGGACTAATATAAATCAAGCTTAGCAAAATATCCATCACTCACACCACACATACACACACAATGAATTTATATATGTTCAATGGACATATCATTGACTGAATACAGAGTTTTATGTCACACTGCTCGTCAGGGTCAGATATTCTATAAATCTATTGAATCATATACTCCACAAAACAAAAGTTAATTTTAGAGTTCAAATTTTAAATTTGAGCTCTGCAATTAGTTTGAAATTCAGGATAACTTTAACCTTTGTGCCTGAAATAATACAATTTCCCCCATATATATATATATATATATATATATATATATATATATATATATATATATACACACACACACACACACAAGGACAAAGAGAAACTTAGGTAACTGAAGTCTAGATAAATTAGGGAGTATGCTAAGTGATGTAATTTTAGGTTCTATCAACAAAAGTGAGTAAATGGTTTTTTTAAATAATGTAATTAATATTTATACTATTTTAGTTTAGGATTCATTTATGTATTATATATTTTAAATAATAAAAGGTTACAAATTTAAATGTTTCCTTTTAATTTTTTTATCATTTTTATAGTTGTGTATGTTGGCTTGGGAAAGAAGTAATTCTTTCAGGAATGGGGATATTTAAAAAATTTATGTTTAATAAGAGATATATCCATATGCATAAAACGGTTGAAAAAAACTATTTTTTTTCCAAAGCATTACGTCCTTTGATGGATTTTATAAAGGCAAATGTAAGGATTTTATTTTGCAACACGTATTTATAAACAGATATATATAAAAAAAAAAAAATATTGTCAGGTTTTACAAAATTTTACTTAGATTTATAAATACAGGTTGCAAAATAAAATCCTTACATTTGCCTTGTCATCAGAAGATGAAACGCATCCATAAAAACTTAGTTTTTACTTCTGATTTTATATTTCTACATTTGCATTCAGACTATTGCCCTCATCTTTGTTGCTGTTATCACAATTCTTCAAGTCTAGTGCTTTCCGGCCTCTATCAGGTGTATCAAGGTAACCTACAGAGTATAATGGCAGAAATGTGATGGCAACAACAAAGATGAGGACATCTGTCTATATCTCTGAGATGAGGTATTAAGATTATTTACTTATTTGGACTTATCCTCATCTTCATTACCATATTCACAGCAGTGGACGAAATAAAGGGTTTGGTTTGAAATTCCAATACCTGAAGAAGGCCAGAGCATATAACAGCTGAAACATTGTGAATATGGCAATGAAGATGAGGATAACAGTCTGAAAAAAAGTAAATAATGTAAATAAATATGAGGACAATAGTCTAAATGTAAATAATGATAAATCTTCAGCCCAGAAATTCGGATACGGATAAATGAGATTAATTGCTTATGTTGTTTAGAGAGAATAAATTATAAATGTTTAATAGATTTACTAATGGAATTGATTTTTGGCTACATTATTTTCCTTATATGTCTCTCACTTTTCAAAGCAAAAACAGTTCACGATGAAAAAAAATAACCCAGATCTGTTGCATGATTGCATGACTTTTTGCTTTTAACCTCTACTGCTTCTGCATGCTTGATGTTATTGTCTACTCTCCTCTTAACTGTAGGCTACTTGTTGTTCTGATGATGAACATTGCTGTCCTTCTGATTACACTTGTGATCTAGCAGATGAGAAATGTGTGATGGGTGACTCTCAAATCCAATTATCTGCTGAAATGATTGTGTGTCCAGACAAAATGACCGAATGTCCATCTCCAGGTACATGTTGTCGTCTTCCAGATGGTAAATGGGGTTGTTGTCATTACTCTCAGGTCAGTAGAAACATTTTGTCTGAAACCCAATAATTAGACTTTGTAAGAAAAGAAGCATGTATCAACATCATCACAATGTCTATTTTACTTTTGTATTTTCAGATAATTTTGTTAAAATTTCAGTTTTTCTTAAGTCACATCTGTTGAAATATTATGAATATTTTTTGACATTGTTGAGGTGTCGTTAAAACACTCTTAAAACAAAAATAGGGATTTTTATTTATTTTTTGACTAAATTAATTTTTTTATTTGTTTTTATTAGATATTCTTTGCATGAAGTTGTGCAGAATTAAAAAAAACATATATATATAATATATATATATATATATATATATATATATCTCTGAAGAATCTAAATGAAATAATAATAAAAAAAAATGAAAGAATATTAATCTACAACCCAGTGTGTCTGAAGATTTTAATATTTTTTATTGTTATATATATATATATATATATATATATATATATATAATGGGTTAATGGTCAACATGAATCTGACCATAACCGTGCTCAATATACATGAAAAAATAAAGATGTTTTCAGAAGGAATTTCTTTTCTTCTTATGTTGTTTACTATATCGAGTAGATCATTCCCAAAGGCAAATAACCTTTTCATAAATGGTGCAGATTTTTTGCTATTAAAACCATAAAAACCTCAGGTTCATTTGATAAGTTATTCTTCTGAAAAAAGAAGTATGCTTTCTACCTCATCCTTCTTATTAGTAGATCCTTATGGGGTTTTTTTTTTGTATTAATTTCATGAAATAATTAAACTATACAATAGTTTTCGCTCATAAAAGGAGTAAATCATTTTTTCGGAAGTTACTCAGCATCGCTTGAAAATGTAACTAAACTTTAAATTTTAAGTTTAATTTAAGTTTTGGTTTCAAAACATGGTAATTTCTGTGTTGCGATGAAAACCTATTTATAAATAATAATTATAATATTATGATCTACTATGTATCAAGTACTGTTTTTAAAAATAAATGCTAAAGAACTCTGGATTATAAATCTGATTGTTCTTTCTTTTTTATTTTGAGATTATAATGTCAGTATAACAATATATATATATATATATATATATATATATATATATATATATATATATATATATATTATTGATGATGTTATTTACATTTGGACTATTGTCCTCATCTTCATTGTTGTTATAACGTTTTCAGCCATTGTGCAATTTGTATTTCATCAGCTATATATCGAATTCTGATCAGGGTCTTAAAATATTTGTTGCCAGAAGACAAATGGGGGTCATCATCAACTACAATACTGTCTTTTAATTTTCTTAATGAATAAGTAACATTTTCAAAAAATACATATGAAAAAAAATGGGTAGATTACTGCACAATTTACATATTAGCAAATAGTTCAAAATCGTAATGCAATTTAACAATCATTTGTTTTATATTAGATTCTAAAAATAGTTCAAAAATCGTAATGCAGCAATGCATTTTATTCCTAAAGGTTGTGGGTGTTTGTTTCTTTAATGTTTTTATTTGATATGGTGGGCACTAACAATCATTTGTTTATCTCTAGATGATTGATTGATTGATTCAAATAAATAATTAAATAATGTTAAATCCTTTCCCAAAAATACAATGGATAAATAACATTAACTTATGTTGTTTAAAAAGGAATAAATGATAAACCTTTAAGAGATTTACTTGTATTCCAAATTCTCCACACAGATCAAATTTCTTTTTTTAATACTGTCTTTATGATCTTTTAACTGCTTTGTTGTTCTGAAAATGTCCTCCACATTGAATTGTGTGAGGGTAAATGATAATATGCAGATGTCTTTATACTGTTTTTTATTACATTTTATTCCTAAAGCAGTTTTTGTCTGGGTAATTAGTTTGTTTATTTGTAATGCATTTCTATTTGATATTTTGTTAAAATGGTGGGCCCACTTGCCATCAAATCAATTTTTTTTTTTTTTTTTTTCTGGCAAATTTTCAATTTGCTCAAATATTTGTGATTTCATGGATAGGAGTATCTTTCACACAACCAACAAGGATGTTTTAAGTTCATGGTCAAAAAAAAAAAATGGTTGTTTTTAGAAATAACTGCCAATGAAATAGATATGAATGTTGGCAAAAGTTCAAAAATGTAAATTCTAGTAGTTGTAATAAAAATGTTAAATTTTTATGTTTGGCCTCCCATCCCAAAAAAAAAGATACAGATGGAGATAAATAACATTATTTGATTTGCTACTTATTTGTTTAAAAGGAATAAATGATAAACCTTTTAAGAGATTTACTAATGGAGTCTTCTGATCTTGTTTGATTACTTATTCTATCGAAATGACGTTTGTATAGATAGAAGATATAATTTTTTTAACTAATAAGGATACATTATTTTCCTTGCATGTCTCTTTTTATTTGAAAACTATTACACAGATCTGTTATTGATAGGAGTATCTTACAAGAAAAATGGCCAAAAAATTGCATGACTTTTATAAATAGTGTAAATAATGCTTTTCCCAGCCTTAATTACTTATGTTGTTTAAAATGAATTCTTTAAGCATGCTTGATGTTTATTTTCTACTCTCCTGAAAACTTAACTCTGTAGGACTTTTTGCTTTTAGTTGTTCTGATGAAGAACACTGCTGTCCTTCTAACTACACTTGTTGTTCTAGCAACATAGTCCTTCTGATGTGTGATGGGTGACTCTCAAATGCAATTATCTGCTCAAATTGTTGTATGTCCAGACAAAATGACTCATTGTCCCTCTTCATACACATGTTGTCCTCTTCAAGGTGGTGGATATGGCTGTTGTCCATGGCCTCAGGTCAGTAGAAACATTTTGTCTGAAACCCAATAATTAGACTTTGTAAGAAAAGGTGTATCATTGTTTTAGTTGGATCAACTGCACACCCAATATCAATTTTATATTTGTATTTTTAGATAATTTGTTTTTACAATGTTCTTATTACTTTTTATTACTAAAGCATTTGCGTGTGTTTATTTCTTTTATTGCATTTTTATTTGATGTAGGGGGCCCACTTGCCATCAGGCAAACTGCCACCCTGGCCAGTTGACCACTGTGTATATCGATACAAGTATCTTACAAGGAACAATGGTCAAAAGGTTGCATGACAACAAAGATGTGAACAAATGTTCAAATGTAAATAGTGTAAATAATGCTAAATCCTCATCCCAGAAATACAGATGGAGATAAATAACATTAATTACTTATGTTGTTTAAAAGGAATAAATGATAAACCTTTAATACATTTACTAACAAAATTAATTTTTGGATACATTATTTTCCTTGCATGTCTCTCACATGAAAACAATTACACAGATCTGTTGCACAATTGCATGACTTTTTGCTTTTAATCTCTACTGCTTCTGCATGCTTGATGTTATTGTCTACTCTCCTCTTAACTGTAGGCTACTTGTTGTTCTGATGATGAACATTGCTGTCCTTCTGGTTACACTTGTGATCTAGCACATAGCCGATGTGTGATGGGTGACTCTCAAATGCAATTATCTGCTCAAATCGTTGTATGTCCTGACAAAATGTCTTATTGTCCCTCTTCGAGCACATGTTGTCCTCTTCCAGGTGGTAAATGGGGTTGTTGTCCATGGCCTCAGGTCAGTAGAAACATTTTGTCTGAAACCCAATAATTAGACTTTGTAAGAAAAGGTGTATCATTGTTTTAGTTGGATCAACTGCACCCCAATGTCTATTTTATATTTATATTTTCAGATAATTTTGTTAAAATGTATTTTTAAGTGGGTGCCCAGTTCATAATATGAATACACTATCAAATCAAACCCTGATTTTATTTTATTTTTTTTTTTTTTTTTTTCAAATATCAAATTTTCAATTTGCTCCAAAATACAGTTTGTGATTTCATGGACATCAACATAGAAAGGGAAGCTGTAGTTTTATCACAATTTCTAGTGCTTCTTTCTGATCAACCAACAAGCAGATGTTTTACTTTTGTGGAGTTCATACCTCTAGGTGGTATCCACTTTATCTAAAGGCAAACAGGAAAAAAAATGAGTGAATGAAGGCTTTTAGAAATCAACTGCCAACAAAACTGGAAATAGCATATATCCGGATGTTGGCTGATATTTAGAGTCATCCTTGAGAAAATATGTTAAATTCTAGTAGTTGTATAATACAAAAATATTTTACATTGTAACACAGAAATTTTTATGTTTTGGCACTTGTCCCATCATCAGGCAATAGATTAATACCACCAATGTAACCAATTGGTTTTGCAATATAAAAGATAAAACCAATTGTTCTCTAATCCAGTTTGATATTGAGGAATATTAACCATCAATTACAAAGGAACTTTTAACATCTGTATTTGAATTTGCTACTGTTTATTTGCATCTATCTAAGGAGGAATGCAACATCATTATGAATGCAAAAATATCAGTTCTCATTCCTAACAAATAACAGTGGAACTCTGGAGTCAATTTTGATATTACAATGGGATCACTGGTCTCTATGGAGTCTTCTGATCTTGTTTGATTACTTATTCTATACGATCTTACTGCCCACCATGACGTTTGTATAGAAGATATAGGATTATATAGGGATGATTAGTAACTAATAAGGTGCAGATGTCTTTATAATGTTCTTATGCCTTTTATTACTAAAACAGTTGTGTATGTTTCTTTATTGCATTTTTATTTGATATAGGTGAGCCCACTTGCCATCAGGCAAGCTGGCCACTATGTATATTGATAGGAGTATCTTACAAAGAAAAATGGCCAAAAAATTGTGATAACAACACATGAACAATAGTCTGAATATAAATAGTGTAAATAATGCTGAATCCTCATCCCAGAAATACAGATAGAGATAAATAACATTAATTACTTATGTTGTTTAAAATGAATAAATGATAAATCTTTAAGAGATTTAGTAACGAAATTAATTTTTGGATACATTATTTTCCTTGCATGTCTCTCACATGAAAACTATTACACAGATCTGTTGCACAATTGCATGACTTTTTGCTTTTAGCCTCTACTGCTTCTGCATGCTTGATGTTATTGTCTACTCTCCTCTTAACTGTAGGCTACTTGTTGTTCTGATGAAGAACACTGCTGCCCTTCTGGTTACACTTGTGATCTAGCACATAGCCGATGTGTGATGGGTGACTCTCAAATGCAATTATCTGCTCAAATTGTTGTATGTCCAGACAAAATGACTCATTGTCCCTCTTCATACACATGTTGTCCTCTTCAAGGTGGTGGATATGGCTGTTGTCCATGGCCTCAGGTCAGTAGAAACATTTTGTCTGAAACCCAATAATTAGACTTTGTAAGAAAAGGTGTATCATTGTTTTAGTTGGATCAACTGCACCCCAATGTCATTTTTATATTTACATTTTCAGATAATTTGTTTTTACAATGTTCTTATTACTTTTTATTACTAAAGCATTTGCGTGTGTTTTTCTTTTATTGCATTTTTATTTGATATAGGGGGCCCACTTGCCATCAGTTGACCACTGTGTATATTGATACAGGTATCACACAAGGGACAATGGTCAAAAGGTTGTGAAGTTGCAAAGAATAGTCTAAATGTAAATCGTGTAAATAATGCTGAATCCTCATCCCAGAAATACAGATAGAGATAAATAACATTAATTACTTATGTTCTTTAAAATGAATAAATGATAAATCTTTAATACGTTTACTAACAGAACTGATTTTTGGATACATTATTTTCCTTGCACACATAAAAACAATAACACCGACTTGCATGACTTTTTGCTTTTAACCTCTACTGCTTCTGCAACGCTTGATGTTATTGTCTACTCTCCTCTTAACTGTAGGCTACTTGTTGTTCTGATGATGAACATTGCTGTCCTTCTGGTTACACTTGTGATCTAGCACATAGCCGATGTGTGATGGGTGACTCTCAGATCCAGTTATCTGCTCAGTGGATTGTGTGTCCAGACCTCATTACCAAGTGCTCTACATCGAACACATGTTGTCGTCTTCCAGATGGTAGTTATGGCTGTTGTCCATACCCTAGGGTCAGTAGAAACATTTCAACTGTCAAGCAATAAATAGACTTTGTAAGAAAAGCTGTATCATTGTTTTAGTTGCATCAACTGCATCAGAATGTGTTTTAAATTTATATTTTCATCTAATTTTGTGAAAATTTAAATTTCTCTTATCATTAAGTCACAAATCTTGAAATATTTTACATATTTTTTGGTATTCTTGAGGTGTGGGATAGGATTGCTTAACTCATAAAATAAAAATTGGGTTTTTGACAAAATTTTCTTGATTAGATTTTCTTCCAGCTATGAAGTTTGTTAGAATAAAAAAATATTTATTTGTTTAAGTGAAGGTCATCCTATTCATGCCCACAAAAAATGATGTTTAAAAAGGACGCTTCTTCCCTTGATGCCATTATTATTTTGTACTACTTTCTGCTCCCTTGTCAATGTTTATTTACAAGATTATAAAAATATGCAAGCCCAATACAATGCAATATTTATTTATCTTTTATAATGATTTAATATTTGCCATGAAAAGAAATCTTTATTATTAAAAGAATTTAAAAAAAAAAAAAACTTATGAAAATATGTACGCCATCTACAGGTTGAGTATCCTTTATCAAAATCTTTTGTGTCCTGCATTAAAATGTCTGTGTGAGCATTATATGACTAGCATCATTACTTATATCTGTATGTACACAAAATGTATTAAATTTTATATAAAGCTATTTTCAGGGTACATTTATGAGCTGTAAAGGGTTATCATGTTTATGCTGGCTTCCAAACTTAAGCTGTCCCATTTTATAGATGCTATATACAAATTAAATAGCCTGTTTTCCAAAATCTGAAAACCGAAGCACTTCCGGTTCCCAAGAATTTTGGATAAAGGCTTCTCAATCTATACAATGTAATATTTATTTTTACCATGGTAAGAAATCTTTTTATTAAAAAAATTTTTTTTTTTAAATTATCAATATGTAGAACTATTTTCATTGCAATATTTATTACTTACCATTTTATAAGTAACTATGAAAACAAGGTTTTTTATTAATAATTTTATAAAAAAATATCAATGAACTGCTGCCTGAAAGAAATGCCTGGCAAATGCAATTTTCAAAATTTATAATTAGTTACTTGTTGTCATCTGTTTATTTAAATTTTCATGTTTGACAAACATTTTTATAAATTTACAAATAAAAAATATTTTCATATTTATTTCTTTATAAATTGATAAATGATAAACATTGCATTTTTTGGGGTTTGCATTTTTAGAATGTTGTAAATATAGAATTATTCTTGGAAATAAAGAATCTAATAAATAAATAGTGTTTAATATGTTTGTTGTAAATTCTCAAAGAAAATGTATAAATTCACTTTCATATGTTTATTAAAATTTCAATCATCATTTTTTAAAATAACAAACATTGTTGAGAGAGTGAAGGTAGTTAAAATAATAGTGGTGTCAAGGGAAAACCCATTTGTTTGACACACTGTTTTTTTGTGAGCATGAAAGTTAAAAATTACCCCAAGTTGTGAACCATTTTCTCTCCCCACACCCAGTAGCTTTCTTTTTTTTTCCTTTGTTTTTCAATTTATTTATCTTCATTGTTCACAATGTGTTTCTTCGTCACTTTGAAAACTTTAAGTAGATTGATTCATTCACATTAGAAATAGTTAGTGTGAAATTATACAGACTCCTGCAAAATTTGATTTTCTGAAGATATTTTCATTAAATTCTTTTAATGAAAACATTAACACTATTAATTAAATCCACCATAAAATATGGTGTTATAAGTTTATAAAAAAAAAAAAAAACTAATGCTATAGATTTCCTCCTATTAATGTGTGGTGTAACGGATAATGGTTCAGAATGAGAAATCAAAGAGCAGAGTTCAAATTTCAGTTGGGTTCATTATATTCACTTATAGATAAATACCACAGGGAAAGGTATGAATTCATCTCTTATCACACTCACCCGCCAACTTATGGTTTGAATAGCAAGACAAACTGGGTTCTGTAGCCTTGGTTGGCAACCAGTCTATCATAGAAAGAAATGGCAGTCTACTGCGAGAAAATCTTCTGCCTAGTCATGAATCAAAAGAGACATCATTGTCCACACATGTATCATGTATGGCACTTAACTGGCTGACCTATTTAATGTACCCTATTTGAATAATTGGACAGTGATTATGAATGGATTAAAGAAAAAACAAATTTTGCATAGGTATGAATAATTTCAGATTTAAGTAATATATATTTAATGACAAATATGCAATCCAAAAGTTGCAGAAAAATTCATTCTTCACTTTTTAGAAAATTTGTGTGATTGCCAGAGATCTAGCACCTCATTTTCAACTCTACTCGCTGAGTCTAGGATATGCTGAGTACATCTCCTACAGTGGAGATAAGACCCTCCTACACTCCCTGCAAAAAAAAAAGGAGCCACCATCTTAGTAGATGGTTACAGAATTTAGTATATAAAAAAAGAAAAAAAAAAGAAAAATGAACATGAAATAACTGAACCTACTCCACCAATCAAACAAGACAATCTCCTGTAAAATTCCTGAAAGTTTATTTGCTGCAATATTTGCCATTTGTAAAATAGGGACTAAAATGAAGAATACAATCCAGATATTGACTTTCCCCACAACCTTGAATGAAAAGTTTGGAAGGAAACTCCCATCAAAACTAGAAAGAGCAATAACTGGAATTCATGAAAAACTGTTTTAAATTTCAACTGGCAACAACAACAAAATGGTGGTCAGATGTTTCTTGTATGGAAACAGTTAATCTCACCACTAAAGTAAAAATGCATAGCAAATGACTTTTTAAAATGAGAATGTATTACAGGAAAAATTTCTGGACTTCAGAAGTCTATTGAAAAAAACAATTTATAAATTTCAAATGAGAATAACGCTATTTAATCAATAACTACTGAACAATATGTCTCTACTTTCTGCTGAGCTATCATGATTTGAAACACTTGTTTGGTCAGGGGTTGATAGTTTCATAGATATTATACTGATTTTTTACTTGCTAAGTAATTAAGATAATGCATGCTTTTTCACTTTTATCTTTTAATTTTTGTTTTGCTCATTTGTGTGCTTAATTTGCATTTATCAGATTGTTACCAACATGAAGCAGTTGTTTATGCATAGACTATTCAATTTTTTGAGTCAACAGAAAGATGATTGTAAAGAATGATACTGAGAATACCATAGACTGAACACATGAGCAATGAGGAAGTTTTACCGAAAATTCAAGCCAAAAGAACGCTTATACTTAGAATCAAAAAGAGACAGTTGAAATTTCTAGGACACATAATGACAAAAGAGGTCTTGAAGAATTTGACATTCACAGGACATAAAGAAGGAAAGAGAGACAGAAGAAATTAATGCATAATTAACCTAATGAGCTTGTGTAAATGATTGTTCAAACAGTGATTAGGAGAGATAGCAAAAGGACAAAACTTACTGAAAGCTGTGAGGGACAGGAGGTTGTGGAGAGTTATGATTGCCCACGTCCTGAAGAGACACAGCACATAAAAGATATAATAGAAGTATTTTTAACTTGTCAAGTAAAATGCTATAATTTATGTTTAAAATTATTATTAGCTTGCAGATAGATTTTTTTTAATTGCATAATAATTATCAAATCTTAACCATTAGCACTCTGCACTATTAATATTACTTCTCTTTCCACTGCGTTCTTTTATAAGCTCTCTCGATTGCAGCATCTTTACTGGTAATTTCATTCAAAGTTGTTTTCTGTTGCCATAGCAGGATATGACAACACAACTATAAAATTCAAATTCAGGGATCAAATCTTCTTCAGTGGCAGGATAAACTTTTTGCAAATGAATTCACATAGAGCATGATAAAGGTTTTAAAAAGGAAATTGGTATTTTTTTATGGCATTGGTGAAAGTCTTTTCTAAAATTCATATTCTTTCATTCCTTTTGAACAATCATCATGTTAAAATTTTACCTCAGAAATCAATTCATCATTTTGTCTTTAAATTTTTATATGTAACTCCTAAAATAATTCCTTTACAGGGTGTCCCTAAAGTCTGGACACACAGACAAAAATGCATATTTTCATGAAATGAAATTTTCATCAACATTTTATTGAATTGGGCTATTAACAAATAACATCTTTAATATAATTTCCATCATTTGTGATGCAAATGTTGTTGTGCTTTTCAGGATTCACATAAATTCGATGCAATAACTCCACATTGCCGTCAAATTTACAACATCCAATCTTTATGCATTCAATCAAGAGTGTTGCATCTGTGATTTTCACCTCTTTTAGCATACCCCAGAAAAAGAAGTCAATTCTTTTCTTTTTTCAACAAAACCATGTTTAATCTGTGGAGTTATATATAATGTGATTTCCTAAGTGACATGTGTTGAAATACCAGTTCTTGTACAATCAGTAAAGTTAAGGAATGAGCTTAGTCAGTAACTAGATGGGTGACCACTAGGGAATACCAGGTGCTGTAAGCTTGAAATGTGCATGTGATATAGTAGATAATAGCTCAGAATTGGTAATCAAATTGGTGTTTCCAGCTGGGTTCATTATATTTACTTATATGCAAATACATTTGGGGGGGGGGGGTATGAATCCACCTCTTCTCCCCCTAGCTATGGATTAATTAGTAGAACTTGTATCATACATGCATCATACATAGCTGTCTTTTTGTTGAGACAAGACGGGATTTAATCTCATATGAATCAAAGTGTGTCCTGCCTGACAAAATATTCATCATAATGATTTGAGGCTAGGTTTTATCAGTAAATCTCAAAAAGATTTTTACTGTCTGAAAATATTTTCTGGCTCTACAGTAACCTGCAAAAGGTTGATAACTCATAAAAACAAATTAATCTGTTATCCCAACATTCGATTTGCTTCATGACTTTAAGGAATCTTTTCATAATTCTTTTGAAATATTTGATTTTAAAATATGATTTTTCTGTCAATCTAAAGTAAGTTGAGTTACACAAGCGCATTCATACATTTTGCACAGGCAAATGATTGCAATGTTATTCAACAATAGTTCATTTTCAAATTTTTAATATCTAAAATTTAAATTTGAAAAATATTAGAAATAACTTTATTTTAAATTATTTTTTTAACCCCCAGCCATACTACATGTGTGCAAGTCTTTAACACCTATCTGCCAAAATACAATGAAATTTAACTATCACAAAAAGTGCAATAATTTTCATATTGACTTTTAAAAAAATATATAAAAGTTTTATAATTTTGTAAGAAATGTTCTTTTAAGAATCATATTCAGCAAAAATAAAAACGACTTTTTATTTTTAATTTTTTTGTAATCCTGTTTGAAATTGAAACTAAAAGAAAATGCCACACAGTGGTTTTAGTCTTTTACAGTTTCTGAAGATTTTATTTTTCCTTTTATATCAATTCTTTGACATCTCATCACTTTAGGCAACTTGTTGTAGTGACCATTTGCACTGTTGCCCCAATGGCTACACCTGTAATGAGGCAGAACAAGAATGTATCCATCATGGTATTGACTACTCAGAACTGTCTATTCCTCCATCAACCCTTCAGTCATCTAATTCAGTCAAATGTCCAGATGGTACCACATGTCAAGATGGTACCACATGTTGCTTTGCTGAAAATGGCTATTCATGCTGTCCACTTCCTGAGGTTTGTAATGACTAGTCTTCAAAATATTTTGCAATCATTTCTTAGATTTTGTTTTACTAATCCCTGAATTCAAAGAGGAAATTGTTGAATTAATCAGTTTTCATATCATTTTCTTTAAATAGACATTGACTGTTTTGTGAATAAATGTGATTGATGAAAACACTTTTTTTTTTCTTTTACTAAAACAGACTCCCGTGAGGATGCTTCCCTGATAACTACAATTTTCAAGTCCCAAGTCAACCGTTATCTATCCTGCATATCCTCATAATCTATTCGGAAATCAGTTCTGTCAAGCATATCTGTTTCTCTGGCTCTCTTTAACCAAAGCCATTTTTTTCTTCTGCACTCAATGAACTGTTCTTTTAATTTTCAAGCTCAATGTCAGTGATTTCTCTTTGTACCAAACAGAATCAATTTCTGATGGGTCTTTTCCAAGATTCAAAATTAATTATTCCAAAAATAACTGTTTGGGATAACTGCTTTTTAACAATACAAAATTCTTCATTAAAATTAGATTTATTCTCAGCCAAAGTAATTTCTTAAAATAAAAAAAACATAAAAATATTCTTACTTTAGTGGTAGGCTCGTAATAAATGGAGCACAGATATAAAATATAAACAAAACAAAAAAGTGCTTCTATTTAAACCCAATTGTAAAAATGGAGGTTGAACAATTTAAATTTAGATTAGATATTTCTATTATTTATCTCTAAATGTGTTTAAAAAAAAACATTAGTATTTAATTGTAAGAACTAATTTTGCTTCAATAAACATAGCAAGAAAAAAAATTTTTTTTTCCTGTCAGTTTTTGGTTAAAACACTTAAATGAACAAACATTTGTGTTGTGTTTTCTGTGTATCATAACTAAATTTAAAATACAAGGAAGAATTTTTAAAATTTCATCATGATGCAATGCCAGGTAATTGTAGATAAAATGTTTTTTGAGAAAATCTTTTGCTTATGAACAGTTAGAATATACTAATATTCCTTATAGAATACATGCACAAAGCAAAATTCTTAAAGCATAAGTTAAAAGCTGTTGCTCTAAACATGGAAATTAGAATATTGACTTTTAAAAAAATATATAAAAGCTTTATAATTTTGTAAGAAATGCTCTTTTAAGAATCATATTCAGCAAAAATAAAAATAACTTTTTATTTTTAATTTTTTTGTAATCCTGTTTGAAATTGAAACTAAAAGAAAATGCCACACAGTGGTTTTAGTCTTTTACAGTTTCTGAAGATTTTATTTTCCCTTTTATATCAATTCTTTGACATTCTATTATTGAAGAGGATTTAATAAAAATGTTTAAGGCTGGGAATATTTTAGCAAATTTGGACCATCATTCCTGCAAAAACACTGAGTGTCAAAAGGACAATTTTTTCCCTTGACACCACTATCATTTTAACTACCTTCACCAATTTATTAATAAATATAAAAACAATTTTTTATTCATAAATTTATAAACATTTACTAAATTATTAAAATATGAGAATCAACTATAAGGAAATCTTTATTATTTACCATTTTATAAAGTTTAAATCAATTGATGTTTTGCCAAGCATTCCTATAAACAATCTAATAAACAAATAGTATAAATAATTTAATAGTGTTATTTTTGTTGTCAATTCTCAAGAACAAAGAAAATGTATAAATTTACTATCATGTTTAGGTTTGATTAGAATTCTAATCATCAGGTTTTTAAAACAATAAACATTGCTGAGGAGTGAAGGTAGTTAAAATAATAGCGGTGTCAAGGGAAAAACTGTTCTTTTGACTCTTTAGTTTTGTTTGTATTTGCAAAGGTCCAAGTTTTTTGGGGTTTTTGTTTTGTTTTTTGTTATTTTACTAAAGTTTCAGTTCAAGTAATTTTGTTTGTTTTTTGTTTTTTTTTTTAATATAATTTAAAAAAAAAATTTTTTTTGTTAAAACCTGTACTATTTACATTAAAGATAAATAAAGAATTAAAGATTGAAGCGATAAAAAATTAATATTTATTTCTTAAGCATTTTAATGGTGTTTTTAATATTTTCTACTAACAACTATTGATGATGATAAAAATAGATTTTGATTCTGTGGCTGTTCAAAAAAAAGATTTCTGAGCAGTTAAAATTGTTTTTTATGGTGATTCTGGGATGGTGGTGGAAAAAGTTAGTCTGTAGCATGTTTTTTTTTTTTCTTTTTTTTTTTTTTTTCTGTTCTCATCCCTAGCGAAGAAGCAGCAGTGATCATAAATGAGGACACTTTCTCATTGCACTCCAGTAGGGTTGTCTTCTGCGATTACCTCAAATCTGTGTTACTTGGACATGCAATTTCCATACCAACAACAGATGTGATAAAATAGTGTGGCATGATATTTTTACTCTTGCAATTTATTCCTGTTGTTTGACCAGTCCAACTTTCTGCCCTTCTTTCCTCAAATCAAAATGTGATCTATTGTCTTTGATTGTGTAAAACTTACAGCACACACCAAATGCTGATTTCAAAGGACAACAATTGTTATTTTGTTACAGATATTTTTATTACTCGACTTGATTCTCCTTTTGGTGTCTCTCTTATTTGTTATTTTTTAAATACCCCTTCACCTGTGCTTTTCTTGTATAGGCCAAGTGCTGTTCTGATATGAAGCATTGCTGCCCAAGCAACTTTATATGTGACCCCATCAGGGGTAGATGTCGGATTGAGGCCCCTACCAAAAAGTTTTCACTTATTAGCCTTTAGGTTTGCCAATGTTACTGTCTCTTGTCCAGATTCCCACTGTCCTTCAGGCTCTACCTGTTGTCCCGTCAGCTCCACAAAATTTGGCTGTTGCCCTCTGCCCAAGGTTGGTTCCCCACCCTTAAGTTTCATAGCTACTCACTTGTGAATTTGTTTTCACTTTGTCAATACACTGTTTTGCACCTTGTCTTTATTTTGCACACACTTGCTGCTTTTTACGCCGTGTGATTTCTTTCTTGCTTAACTGTGGTTGATCTCATTTTAGCCAACGACATTTCATGGGAACCTGTTGCTTTTTGTCAATATTATTTCATGTCTTTAATGTTTAGATGTCGTATTATTTTCCTTCAGGTGAATGCTTTGATGTCAGTTCATTTTAAGCCAGCATTTTGATCCTGCATTCCTTAAATTTTCTTACAAATGACATAGGGTTAAAGTATTCCAGATACCCCCTTTGAAAAGCTATGAATCCATTTCTTCTCCCCCTCCAGCTGAGTTAAATAGTAAAACTTGTATCTGAAAAATTCTAGTGGTTCCTAAAAAATTGTTAATGCAATATTCAGTTGCAAAAAAAAAAAATTATTACAATCCAAGATGTGTATTTGGTTTCATGAAAATGATGTCTGTTCTTCAGCAAACTTGATTGTAAGATCTTTGCCAATGATTGAGTTTTTCTTGCACTTCATACCATTGTCTTCAAATTTGAATGACTATCAGATTGCCATACCTGGCTGCATTCTCACCTGCTCTTACCCTTGTCACCTATAAACAATAAGAGAATAGGCTGATCAAAATGTTAAAATGAACCTAAATATCAGAGTACTAATCTTTTTCTTGCTTTTTTTTTTTCTTCATGTTGGTGATTTTCTTTTCTCAGGCAATGTTTCTCAGTCTGTAGCTTTTGCCTGTCACCAAAATACCTGATTTTAATTTTTGGTTGATTTGCATTCCTTCAGGCTAGATTTTCTGTGTGTTTGCGTATCCTTTGAATTTCCAGAAAACAATCTTGTCAATATTCATATTTTTGTCCTACAGCAGGATTTTGGTGTTTGTTTGTTTTGTTTTTTTGTTTTTTTATATCATTTCATGTGTGGCTCCTGCATGTCCAATAGAAATATTCAGGTATTGTGAATGTTTTTGTTTTTATTTTTTAATCATTCTATAAATTGAACATTCAAGCATTATTCTCTTTCTTTGTATATTTATTTCTTCTAAGTTTTAATGTCTTTTAATGCCATCTCGGTTTCTTAATAACTTTTAATGCCATCTCGGTTTCTTAATAACTTTTAATGCCATCTCGGTTTCTTAATAACTTTTAATGCCATCTCGGTTTCTTAATAACTTTTAATGCCATCTCGGTTTCTTAATAACTTTTAATGCCATCTCGGTTTCTTAATAACTTTTAATGCCATCTCGGTTTCTTAATAACTTTTTAATGCCATCTCGGTTTCTTAATAACTTTTAATGCCATCTCGGTTTCTTAATAACTTTTAATGCCATCTCGGTTTCTTAATAACTTTTAATGCCATCTCGGTTTCTTAATAACTTTTAATGCCATCTCGGTTTCTTAATAACTTTTAATGCCATCTCGGTTTCTTAATAACTTTTAATGCCATCTCGGTTTCTTATTTTAAACTATTTTTAAATGCCATCTGAGCATTAGTAACTTATTTTTAAATGCCATCTGAGCATTAGTAACTTATTTTTAAATGCCATCTGAGCATTAGTAACTTATTTTTAAATGCCATCTGAGCATTAGTAACTTATTTTTAAATGCCATCTGAGCATTAGTAACTTATTTTTAAATGCCATCTGAGCATTAGTAACTTATTTTTAAATGCCATCTGAGCATTAGTAACTTATTTTTAAATGCCATCTGAGCATTAGTAACTTATTTTTAAATGCCATCTGAGCATTAGTAACTTATTTTTAAATGCCATCTGAGCATTAGTAACTTATTTTAAATGCCAAGTTGTTTTGTTTTAAAATTATACAATGTTTCTTTTAATACTGATTCTTCCTTTCAAGTCTAATCTTTGTCACTAGTGAGTTCAATCCCTAGTTTACTTACTTCAACAATATGCACTGATAATGAATTAAAATGACATGTATCTCTGGTTCAGTAAAATTTTTATTTGATATTTTGGGTACTTTACTGAATGCATTTGCACAATTTACTCAATAATGTGCCTTGTTACACATGGGCATATAAGAGTAGATCACCTCATTTGATCATGTGATCAATAAGCATCAAAAGCAAAGTGATTTCTCTTGGGTCTTGATGCCTGACATCTGCAAATGGTTAGTTATGATCAGACAACTTGAAAAAAAGCAAACCCCATCTTTCGTTCAACCAGACATTCTCTCTAAATAAAGGGGATTCTTGATCCATGCGCAGGTGGTGTAATAAATAATGGTCCAGAATTGTTAATCTGAGAGTCAAGTTCCAATTCCAGTTAGGTTCATTACATTCACTTGTGTTAAAATATGCTTGGCAAAGGTATGAATCCACCTCTTCTCCCCCAGCTATAGGTTAATTATTAAGACTTGTATTGCTAAATCATTATTTCCACAAAAAAAAATCTTGCAATCTAAAAATATTTTCTGGGTTTAAATAACCCGCAAAAGGTTGACAAACTGTAAAATTGAATCGATCAATTTAAAAGATAACAAGGTTGAGATGAATATTTTACTTTTGCTTTGAATGAACACTGTATGAAAGTGATTTGAAAGAATTGTGTAATAAATTTTTATTAATTCATGAAAAATAAAAATTCAACTCCTCTTTTCTTTCTCTTTAAGGCTGTATGTTGTCAAGATAACAAGCACTGTTGCCCCAAAAATTATCACTGTGATCTTGAACATGAACGTTGCGTGATGGGCCAAACTTCATTGCCTCTCTTCAAAAAGTTTCTACCTTCAAAGCCTCTAACTGCAATGAAACCGACTAAAAAGTTATCCAAGTTTGTCATGTGTCCAGATAACAGTGAGTGCCCTGACCATTATACATGTTGTCTCATGAACACTGGCGCTTGGGGTTGCTGTCCCTTCTTGAATGTAAGTCTATTTTTCTGTTTATAATTGTCTTGGTTTATGCTCTGTTGGATGAAAAGAGAATTTGACTTTTTTACTAAGGCAGGATATGGCACAACATCTTTTTTGTTTATGTTGGGGGATCCAGGCGTACATATGATCCAAAAACTACACTTTTCTCTCTGCTGAAAGGTAAAAAAAATATGTGGTTTAGAAAATAACAGTAACTTTTTCCTTTTTTTCTTTACGAGAGAAACACCCTCATCTCTTCTGACACTTAGAAGACAGCAAATGAATTTCCTCTAGAATTTCTCATGGGCTCCCCCTCTTACTCTCTCTCTCCCTCTCGCTTACTCTCTCTCTCCCTCTCGCTTACTCTCTCTCTCCCTCTCGCTCACTCTCTCCCTCCCTCTCGCTCACTCTCTCCCTCCCTCTCGCTCACTCTCTCCCTCCCTCTCGCTCATTCTCTCGCTCATTCTCTCCCTCCCTCTCGCTCATTCTCTCTCTCCTCTCATTCTCTCCCCTCTCTCATTCTCTCCCCTCATTTTCTCTCTCTCCTCATTTTCTCTCTCTCTCTCATTTCTCTCTCTCTCTCATTTTCTCATTCTCTCTCTCTCATTTTCTCTCTCTCTCTCTCATTTTTCTCTCTCTCTCTCATTTCTCTCTCTCTCTCTCATTTCTCTCTCTCTCTCTTTTTTCTCTCTCTCTCATTTCTCTCTCTCTCTCTCTCTCTCTCATTCTCTCTCTCTCTCTCATTTCTCTCTCTCTCTCCATTGACAAGCTAATTATCAACAGCTTGCAACATTTGCACATTAACAACTTCACTGCAAATAAATCCCATCATCAAAACAGCAAGCAAACTAATATCATAAAAGTCTGGTTTTCATATATATATATATATATATATATATATATATATATATAAAAATCACGCTTTTTGGAGAATTAGACTGGAAACTAGTTTTGTATTCTGTGTTGATCAAGGTTGGAGATGATGGCAGCAGAAATAAAGATGATTGCTAAAGTCTGTGGAAATTGTTTGCCTGGAAGCAGTATGTGTAATGGAAAGTTAGACTTGTACGACAAAATACACATTGGTTGTCCACAAGAATTTAGAAATCCTTGCAAAGTCGAGTTTCAAAAACAGAGGTAGAAATGAGGCATAATATTTACAAGGATACTCAAAAAGAAAAAAAGCAATCATTTAAACTCTTCAAAAACGTTAAAAACTGCTCTTAATCATAATGGTTTGCAAGCTCTTTATGCATGATGGCCTTTCTCACTCAACCTTGTAATTGACTTAAGACCTCGTATTGATCCCTTCATTTGCAAAACAGTAGGAAAATTGGTTTCACATTAATTCTTAGAGCAAAGCATTTGACAATGTCTGGTCACTTGCATTTCCCCCTTTTCTTGAAAAATGTTTGTAGTCGATTGTCACTGGGGATGAAAGTGGGTTTATTATGATAATCTGAACTATCAAAAATCATCAGTAGTATTCACTGGGATATGAAAAGTGTATTATATTAGGAATTACTGAAGCCTGATAAAACTGTTTTGTTTTGATCAATGCAGCATTCTTTATATTGTCAAAAATTTAGAGACATATGTCTTGTATTCAAAATTTCTTTGAACTCTATTAAAATGGAATTTGAAAACTTGAAATGTTAGTGTAAGCTGATAGAAACTTGAAAAATATTTTGATGTTTAATAAGTATATGTACTAGCAATTAACTCATTTTAATGAAAAGGCTGGACATTTTTATGCCTCTAATATGGGGTGCTCTAGAATTGAGAATGTGTTTCAAAGTACTTGGCCTGATCAAGGAGAGATTCCAAAATAAATTCTGTTTGGCAAGTGAGTCAAACCAAGAATTTTACAGCACCCACTAAAATTAAATCTTTAACTTGATATTTCTCTTATAACACTGTATTGATTTTAATCATATTATTTTCTATAAGGAGTTGATATTGACCCTTAAATTACATCAACAAAATTAATATTTACATTTTTTGCTCTCCAAGTGGGACTCTTATTAAAGTATATTCATGTAAATAGGTTTGTCTCTGACTATTCCGGATTGTATACAAATCATGACAAAAAAAACAAAAGGACAGTTGATTTTTTTTTTTTTTTTTTTTTGTCAAAGTTTATTTCATTATCTTTCTGTTTTTTTATTGTTAGTAATATAATATTTGGGTTTTACATGAGTAAGTTTATTGAATTATAATTTTTTAAACAAATTATGAAAAGCAATAATATGGAAAGCAAGAAATTGTGATTTCTACAATACCTATAATATAGTTATCATCTTGGATTTATTGCCATGTATTAGCTGGAATATTATGTGTACAATAATGTTTCTGCAAGGTGGTACAATCCTCTTTAATGTTTCAACACTGCAATCAATGAAACAAAAGTGCAATTTACAGACAGAACAGAAGCTGGAAAGCTTGTCCACATGTTACTCTATCGGTTAAAAGCAAAACTCCAAAAACCCAATGAATTTAGGATGGGAAATTCCTTTTCATTGGATTTGACACCATCGGATTATCATTTGTTTTGATCAATGCAGCATTCCTTATTTTGTCAAAAATTTAGATTGAAAATTTCATTAAGATGGAATTTGAAAGCTTTAGCAATGTTTTATATTTAATTAGATATGAAATGTGGACTTCAAAACTTTGCCCACCTAATTACACCCTGATTTGTGTAAGCGCCAAGCTGCTCTTGTTCAGTTGAAGGGACAAACAATTAAGTGAATTAAGTAATTTGTTTGCCAGGAGTTCAATCTTTGGGTCACATAGTGCCAAAAAAAGTCATATACTCTGGGACAAGAATTAAGATATTTTCTGACATGGACAATGTTTAAACATACAGCCATCTTGAGATATTACCATGACAAGAAAATACTGTTTCTGATCAACTAGATTCTTTCATCATGGCAGGGGCTGGGGTAAGTGACATTTGCATAACATCTTCACTGCTGCTTCTCTCATGACACAACAGACCAGATCTTCCCTTTCACCAGCAACAAATTCTGATTGCCTATCGCTGGTTGCAACTGTCTCTACATCTTGAGGTACGGCTATTAAGAGTCCTCTGACTGCTGACACAATTTGGGATAAAAAAAAAAAATTGTGCTTAAAGCAAGTAATTTTTTTTTTTCTTTTCTTTTTTGAAAGTCAATTTTCTGATGATCAGGTATTGTTTGTGGTAGGAACATTTCCAAAAATTCCTCGTTCCCCCCCCCCTCATCAAAAAGTTTCATCTCTATCTATCTTGTTATCTCATTCTTTAACTATTTTAGGAAAATCAATAATAAAGTCGAAAAATGTTTTCATGTGACTCATTTTATCCTTTAGGATTTGAGAGTGATGTTTTATGTTGAGATGATTACATATGTGCATGGAAGAGATGGGACACTGAAATTTTTAATTTAATTAATTTTTTTTTAATGTGCTTTGTGTATCTAGATGATTTAATTTAGTTTCTTTTTCCTTTTGTTTGTTTTTATCACTTTAGTTATTATTTATCTATATCTTTCTTTATCTCTCTATATATCTATCTCTCTCCAGCCATCTCATACCTGCAAACACAAGGAAGTTCTTTGTAAAATCTTTAAATGCCACAATGTTTTTGCTAAGATTTCAACTTACCATCTTAGCCTAGCAACTCACTGAATGTTTCATTCTCCCAATTGATGAAAAATGTTTGTAAACAACAGCAACAAAGATGAGTGAATGCTAAGATGACTGATTCAGTATCTAAGGATTTAGAATCCACTTTAAATTAGTTTGCCACTATGTGACCAACAAAGAGGCATCAGTGTGTCCTAAAAATTAATGACCTTTTTCTTTTTTTATTTTCTTTCCCAGGCTGTCTGCTGCATCGACAGGCAACATTGCTGCCCAGAATCATTTGCCTGTGATATGCAAAAGGATAAATGTATTTCCGTTCGTAGTAGCATTAACCCGATTTTTTCAATGTTTACTTCTAAAATGAAACCATTGAAAAGAATGCCTTCCTTAAGTACACAATGAAAAAAAAAAAAATGACTGCTTCTAAATGTGTTTTTTTTTTTTTTTCTTTTTTTTAAATCTATAAATGCTTTGAATTGTACACATTTTTTTTTTTTTTAATTCACTTAATTTTGTAACATTTTTGTCCGTATCATAGCTTTAAAAAATAAAATACCATTTATGAACACCAAATATTAGATTTTGCAAATTGTTTCTATTTTGTATTCTCTTAAGTAAATTAGGTCAATGCAGAAATAATTGTGTTTTTTTTAACCATCAATTTTCAATTCAGTATATCTCAACTTAGAATTCAATTATAATTTTGCATGCTCCTTCATTAGTTTGTTAGCGGTTACTTTACATCCTGCCAATACCTCATAAGTAATAGACTATTCCTTTTTGATCATGAGAAAAGACATATCAGAGACACTGGTTTCAGTGAGGGGGGAAAAAAAAGAAATGGCAATAACACTCACATGTATTTATGGTCTGCTTCAGTGAAGATGAAAACTTGTATAATTTAATACTCCAATAAAAACACAGGGAATTAAAAAAAAAAAAAAAAAAAAAAATTTTCTGACATGTAACAAAAACCTGATGTAATTTTTTTTTCTCTGTATTGCTGTCTGGACATCAAAAAAATAAAAAATAAAACCTTCCAAAATTATTGACTGTGAAACAAACCCTTACTAATAGAATTTGTAGGAATTTAGAAATGAATGTAGGTGGCATGCATCTTTTAAATATTTCAGCGACAGTTGGATCAAAACTGACCAACAATCTGTATTTAAAATGTTTTGTATAAGTCACTGACTAAGAATCATGTGAGTGGGGCAATTTCAAATTCAATTAGATTTTTACCATTAAAAATTAAATTAGATTCAAGACATTTGTCACACAGTGTGTGTGTGTGTACACGCATGCATAGTGTAGTGGTTATCAGCTCAGAAAGTGAGAGTGGCATGCTGAGTTCAAATTTCAGTTGTGGTTACTTTCACACAAATACTCTAGGAGAATGGGCTCTTGAGTAAAATTAATTTAAATAGAGAATCTACACACTGTTGTCAACAATAAATAAGCTTACTTGTTCTGGTAGGCTTTTTTTTTTTTTTTTTTCCAGCTGTTGCTTAGTTGTTGAACATCATTGCTTGCAAGAAACTGTTGGGGTTGCTTGAAAAAGGGTTAGTCGGCTGTAAAGACATCTCTTGAGGGAGGTGGTTGACCGCAGGAAATTCTACTGTCTAGTCAGTCAGTAATCGAAATAAACAGGATTGCCCAATCATGTATCATGTACAGCATTTAACTGACTGACTGGTTGATGTAAAGGTTCACAGACTAGTTAATTCAGTTTTTGCAGTCAATTGTGTGACATAATCAGATGTTGCCAGGAAGAAGAATTGGTTAAATCACAAAGGAACTATGTCAGATGTAAACGTTGCCATTCTTGGTGCACTTTGCCAATTTCCTGGCATTGAAGAAGTTGGTCTGTTGCTTCAGTTGGTACCAGAAGAAACATCAAAATTTAAAATAACACACAAAACCTGATATTAACTCGAAGTACCTCTGAAAATTTCAGTTTTTCTATTTTAATTTTTTGATGGACCTTAATTAAGTTAATGGTTGAATAAGCTCGTGGAGAGTTCTACGACAATAAAATATCTATAGAAAGTCCCCTATTGCATCGTTAAATATTTGAGCTTAACAACTTTAACAAAATATTACAATAGCAATCCTAAATCAGTAATAAGTGGATACAAATGAA